GATTACAATGTGTTATTTGTTACAAATTGAACACACATATTAAGTAGGTTGTGATAACGTCCGAAACTAGAATATATAATTTCCGTTACTTTTTCCCTGTTGTAACAAAATTTAAACTGTATTGTTTTACTTTTAATGTTTAATTATGACATCAGTAATGCAACGCCTCCTCATATACATCTCTGTAGGTCGAATATTATGTGTATTTTTATTTTGTCTGAGGTAAATTAGTAATTTAGTAAATAGATACTTTAATATTCTTATAATTCGTTTGACTTTGAGATCTTTACATTTTACGTACATTGCCTACTTTATTAAAATAAGTTAATAGACCTTTTTGTAATGCCATAAAAACTACATACAGTTTTATTTTTGCTAAGTAGGACGCGCAGTGCCATACAATATTATACATTTTGAGAGCTAGACATTGGAACCAGATCGATGCTCAGCAGTCAAGCTTGTGATTAAGATTAACCAGAACAATATTACTTACATGTAGTTAAAACAACAAATCAACAATTAGGATCTTAGTAAGCAATCGGTGCCACCCATGGACATTCGCAACACCAGATGAGTTACACCTCCGTTACCATCCCTTTGGGACTTGGACTTGAGAATTGGGGGAAGTAGGAGTGACTAGTCCTTCAGAAACCTGACTCCTGAGACCCCTTGCACAATAATAAAAACAATATTCCCCAAGTACAAAGTCTAATAAATATCTTTTTGCACTTTCCAGCGAGAAGTCCAGTATTTGCAGCGATGTTTGAACACGAGATGGAAGAACGGAAACGGAATCGAGTTGACATCACAGACGTAGACCATGAGGTGTTACGAGAAATGTTACGCTTTATATACACCGGCCGCGCGCCCAACCTAGACAAGATGGCTGACGATCTCTTAGCCGCCGCTGATAAGGTAAGCTGTTGCTATTGGCTGATTCATTTTTGGGCAACCAATCATCGTGGGTGTAATTGAAAACCGTTACGTTTAACATTTTTGAACCGATGTTAGTAACAGTACCAGTAGAAACATTCATGTTGTGGAACAAAACAAATATTAAACGTTGCCACGTTAGAAAAACTTAACTCCATTAAACTGTTATTAAACCTATCTACTGAATAATATTACATCACTGCACAAAGTCAATAGAATTAAACGAGATAAATTATACACAGAAAAACGTTTAACTCGTCGAGTACCGGTTTTATAGACACAATTAAAGAACAATAGATCGCGGTCACCGGTGACCGCTTGGTGTTTGACAGATTAAATGACCCTTTAATAGGTACTATCACGCTATAAACATTTATAAAAACGTTAATCTGAGATAATAAGATAACTTGAGCCACGTGCATAGAAATTATACCACAGATTAAAATCGTGTGACTGGTTAATTGACACGATGGCCAAGTGCAGGAGGAAATACAAGTATTTATTGAGACAGTGTTTACAACGTTAAATTTAAATTATCTGTGGCTTGTATGCAGTATGTGTTATTACTTAGTTTTTTCTTAATACTATATCAAAATTATATGTACTTAGCCACTAAAATAGTGAGATTTGTAGGGTTTTGTAACTGTCATTATTCTTGATGTTTATTGACAAATGTTTTTCTTTATTTTCAGTATGCACTAGAGCGATTAAAAGTGATGTGTGAAGAAGCGTTATGCCTGAGTCTATCGGTTGAGACGGCCGCAGACACACTAATACTAGCCGACCTGCATTCTGCTGACCAGCTCAAGGCGCAAACCATCGACTTTATTAACACGTTAGTATACACTTTATGACTTTTATGCACCTACTATTTGTTTTGGGTCGAAAAAGGATAAAGTTGACTTCCACGTCAAGGCCTGGCAAAGCCTATGGGGTGTACTCAACTAGTTTCGAGCCTAAACGGAACCCTTATTCATGTGTGAGCTAGCTATCCTAGTTCACCATGATTATAGTGTTCAGTGATGTTAATATTGTAATATTATGTTACGCAGGAGTCACGCGACAGACGTGATGGACACAGCTGGTTGGAAGAACATGATCTCGTCTCACCCACACCTGATCGCGGAGGCCTTCCGCGCACTGGCCACGCAGCAACAACAGATCCCTCCCATCGGGCCGCCGCGCAAGCGTGTGAAGCAGGCCTAGTGCGGCACCGCGCCCCGGTCCGCGCCCCGGCCCGCGCCCGCGCCCCTGCGGCCGCGCCCCCGCCCCCGCTATACCAAAGACACGCCACCCGGCCCGCGCGCCGCGCCCCCGATGGCCCACGTGTGCGTATCATTACACCGGATCCCACGATCCGGACCTTCGTTTTACTATGATTGATCTCAAGACGATATTCGATCCTAATGTTTTTTTGTCTCTTGCGGTTAATTAGTGTACCGCTTTTAATAATTACTTTTAATGTGTATGTTACGGAGAAATGCTGGACGCTTTTTGCGCGTTGATGTAGTTTTGGATGTAGGCTTCGGGTTAATATTTTATGTATGTCGTTTTTGTGAACATTCTCTTGCAGCTATGTATGTAAATTATTACTATGTATTAAATATGGAACTCGTGTCTAAAACAACTATCCATGTCATATAAATTTATATCATTATATTATTATTATGATTGTAACGTTCATTGGCTAACAAATTGACATAATCGGTTATTAATTAATAGTAATGTACAGAAAATGTAATAATTGGAATAATCGAATGTAATGATTATTATGCCACAATGCAAATATAATTGAATTGGTAAATCTTGGTGTTTCGTGTTCCCATAGAAATTACAAGAACATTAATGTTAGACAATGTATAATGTAGGCCTTTTGAAAATATTTTGAAGTAGAGTGGTAATTGAATGCAATAAAGTTATGTATGTACCACAGGTTTGTACAAAACTGTCGTATGCAATGAAATGAGATCGGATCCCGGCTTGACACTGAGAGCTGCCACAGAGACAGTTTGTGCAAAGCTCTGGTACCTCGTAGACGCAGTAGGGGACTCGAGTGATTGTATAAGTCTATTGAAATTGTTGGTATTGTATATAGATGAGCTACGATCCCACCATAAAATATTTCTAAGTACTAACCCTTAAGTGGTATCACTGATGACACCATTAATTTTTTATTATAACTGTAGGATGTTATTCCAATGACATATTGTGATTTTTCTATCATATTTCCATAGGTTAAATAAATAAATACACGAACGCTTTTTGTTTGGTTTCATATGTAGATGATCACTGGAATAATTTAAATTTTAATGTATTATTATTGTTGTTGGTTTCGCTTCATCAATTGTACATTACTTCGTGTCATGTGTGATGTCCAACTCGGCGTCTTGACTCGCCCCTCATTTTGCTCACTTCATTAACTTTTAAAATTAATATGATTCTAAATTACAAATTGATAAATGTTATTTATTAGTATTATTATCATTTTTTTCATTTTCTATGTCAACTTGACGAATTTTGTAATTATTATTATTATTCTTTTAACTTGTAAAATGATGGACCTACCCACTAAGTACCTATTGTAATATTTACTCAATAGAAGTATATAATATACCGCGGCCAATAAATAATAATATTTAATACCATTTTATACCCACTTCCCATTTTACTACAGCTGACAGCTGTTCCATGTAATTGAATATTACAAAATGTCAAAAATAACTGTGATTTCGAAATTGTCAGTAAGTTGAGCAAATAAATGAAATGATGATGACTTTAACTTTTTATTTCTATTCTATTGCGAAAAATGTTATCGTTGTATTTCAGAATACTGTAATTATGGAAACCCAGAAATGGGGATTTTTGCGTGACTAGTAGTTTGCATCATTTGATTATGAAAATACATACATAACATCACGCCTTTTTATTACACATTTCGGCACTTAATGCCACTGTACAATGTAACACCCACTTTTCACTATTAATGTTATAAGTCCCATGTAATAGGGGGTGAGCCTATTGCCATATACCGGGCACATTTCCAGACTCCGTGCTACTACGATTTTTTTAAAAACCCAGATTATGAAAATGGAAACCAAAAATATGATAGCTGCCACTTGCCACTGGCTGACACCACCCCAGGAGATCTACTGAACTCGTTGGAGTCATTGGAGCAAAAAGTATTATAAGTATAGGGGAATTGGAGAAAATGTTGATAAACGCTTGATGCGCTGTTCGACAGTAACCGCCATACTTAATTGGACCAGATACATGAATGTGAGTAAAGGATTAGGAAGGAGGAGTAGGTGCAGCCCTGTAATTTCTGCCCTCTGTAGCTGCCTATGTCCTTAGGACGTAGGGGAGCGGGGTTGGGCTTAGACAATAACTAAAGTTTGTTTTGGTATTAACTGAAGATTAATTTTATTCAGTAACTGGAGAACACAATTCAATTCTATTCAAATTAATTCAACAATTGATAGTAAATGTGTATATTAACGACTAGCGGCCCGTCCCGGCTTCGCACGGGGGGACTTAAGATTTTTTACATAGTTTTACGTTTTATTTATATTTATTCTCAGTTTTTTTTAGCGACCTGCCCTCCGTTGTCGATGTCGCGTCTTAAGGTAACCGATTGAACAATTCAAAAGTTATCTAGAGCAAACTTTTATAAGGATTGAACCATTCATTAAAACGATTGTTATGGGTAAACTATAAAAGGTAGACATATGCTCTCGCGGACTTTTTAAAAAATAATGTTAAGATAAACAATTCATCTATAGAACATTTTTGTATAACTTTAACTATATGCTCAGCGCACGCCACGGAAGGCCTCAGAAACGATACTTTTCCCCCGTTTTTAAAACATTTTTGGTAACTGCTCCACAACTATAGGACCAAGCGTGATATTATATAGCCTATGTTACTTCTGAATAATGCAGCTTTCGAATGGTGAAAAAATTATTGCAATCGGTTCAGTAGTTTTTGAGTTTATTCATTACAAACATACAAAAATACAAAAATACAAAAATACAAATCTTTCCTCTTTATAATATTAGTATAGATTCTTGCAACGTTTCGTGTCACTTTCATAGCTCGCTGCTTGCTGTCAATGTCAAATCATCGAATTGTCATGTCAATGTCAGCCAGCCAGCCTCCGATGTTATTTTTATTTACGTTTACGTAATTTTGATAAATGTTTTAATATTTATTCATAGAAAATAGCTTAAAAGATGTATATTACCTGCGGCACCAGCAAATTACTTGTAAACGTGAAAGCTATAGCTATGCGGACAGCACAGTTCTCTTCAAGACCTGCAGCTTCAGAAGTCCTAACTGCTTATTTAATTCAATGTAATGAACCGCCTTGGACCTCCTATTTTGTTAAGGTAATATCAACCAGCCAGCATACAGAATTTATGATCATGTCTTAAACACATCAAAAATTTCATAGACGTCGTCTCGATCAGTGAGTATCCTTAGGGCCTCTATATAAAGTCAGTTCTTTTCCTAAACATGAGTTATATTATTCAATAATACGAAAAATTTTGGATAAATGAACAATAAATTCACTTTATGGACTTGTCTACAAAAATTGTTAAAAATAAAATCTGTCTTATAGGTACTTATACACTTTACTGAAGGAGTTAGCTTATATAGATATATTTAATTTTTATTAAAATTAAACATGTAGCATAACTATACTCCCGGGTAATTTCTTTCAGTACAGTAGTGTGAAGAATGATCAATTTGGAATGTCAAACTTTAATTGGAAAGCTGGGAGTTCAAACTATCAAATATTAAGGACCGGCTGTTTTCCTTACATCAAATATCACTGCTCTAAGAAAAAAGCAGAAGATTTAGAAGTATCAGACAAATTCATGAGAGCTATCAAAGTTATTAATTTTGGTAAGTATTGTCCCATAATGCTTTCAAATCTTACTAATACGTATTTTAAATGCTGAAGTTTATGTGTTTGTATGTTGTTCAATCATGTCAAAATGTCAAGGGATCGGTCCACTTTTGATCCCACAGGAACGCGGGCAAAGTGCACTCTGGAGCTAGTTTAGTATATATAGTTTTTGTGACCTCTCCACCATCATCAGCTGGAAGAGATCCATTGCTGAACAAATACCTACCTCTTACTTAACTCTTCATTTAAACTTATTCTTTTGGTTGTATGATTACATTATAGGGTAACATTTGCTTGTTTCGAAGAAACAATTGAACTTTTCCTAGATTCTTAAAAAAATCTGCATTCTAGGTACTAAAATTACTACCAAATCTTTAAAGTGTTTAGCAAGCCTAAACTAAAAAAATGTGAACTGGAGGTATACCTACAGTATAAATATGAAATTAATAAGAAAAATATTATTAACTATCATATAAAGCTGAAGAGTTTGTTTGCTTGAATACCCTAATCTAAAGAAGTACTGGTTCGATTTGAAAAATTCTTGTTGTGTTATATAGTCCATTTATCGATGAAGGCTATAGGCTAGAGCAGAGTGGGTGAAACCACTGGAGTCGCTAGTCAATAATAAAACCTTTATACTTACTTACAGGAATACCCTGTCTGCTCTATGGCCTGGCAGCTACTCAACTAATTAGACATAAGGAAATAGTGCATACTTCTAAGGGGCCTGTCACAATATACTTCCTAATACCAGAAGATAAAGGATCAAGCTACTGACTTGTATTATCTTATAATTTATTAAATCTACTATGTTATTTTTGGCTTAAATGTGAAATGCTTGTTAAGTTTTATTTTGGAGTAGAAAACAAGCCAATTTGTGAAAAACCCAAATGATTTTCATTTCAACTCTGTAATAAATATTTTCAAAAATGCCTGTTACTCCAATAGTAAAAACAATTCATTAAAATAAGAATAATGTTTACATAAAACTATTTTCTTCGAAACTGAACTAAATAAATAAAGTAGGAGGAATATAATATGAGCAATTGTTTACAAATCGCGTTAAAGCGAATTGTTGCTTTTAGTTTTAAAACAGGGAGGTTACTTGCTAACAATCATTAACATTTTTATAAATAAAATTGCTCTAAAAGTCTCATGTAATCGGGGTTTCTGCCTATTGCCCGTATATTGGGCAACAATTCTAGATTCCGTGCTACTTATGTGAATTTTTATAATAACTATCGTGAGACATACTAAATTAACAAAAAATCGCGGGTTACTCACGTGAGTATGCGACTTTGCTTTTTTGCTCGTAGGTACAAAGTTCATTATGGCAATTAGCAATTACATAAATATGCAGTTGAAAACGTAAGTAAATGGTTCGATAAATTTATCGGTGTGGTCGGAGTAAGAGACAAGATAAACCAGAATAAAATTGTAAAGTCATGCTTAATATTACAGACATCAACAGCCTTAGATAATAATAATCACGAGGTCTAAAAGTCACTGTCTGTCTTTATTTTACAATGTTGTCAAAACAATACTTTTACCTAGGCTAATCTCCTATAACATAGAACTTGATAGGAATCCGAAATTAACGGTGAAAAGAAACCAGGTGTTACATTTAAGGTAGGTACCCATTGTCTACCTAAAAAATAAAAAGCGTTATGTTTGCTTAATTTTTTTTAATATTAACAAATTAAATGTCAATTAATTAAATATTGGTGCGTAGACGACAATTTTTTATAGTAGGTACCTACTTATCTACTTTAATTTGGTATTTTATCATTTTTTGGTAAGTGAATAGATCTCTGATGCTATAGAAATGTAGGTCCTCTTCTTTGATATTTACTTGCTGTATTGACGTAGCATATTGAAGTAAGAATATGAAGAGCTCATGCACTGAAAACACAAAACAGTGGATAAGTACATCGATCTAATACTATTAAATACTTACTAACATAGTGGTGATGTTAATAGCATTTTTCTCTCATTTTTCACCTCTATTCGATTGCAACTACGGTTTGTGTTTGTGTTGCATTTTGTCACCGAATCCAAGAAGTAGGTACCTAGGTGTAAAATACTTGAAACCTAATTGATGAGCAAATTTTTTGCGTCCTCACAAATGAATGTGAATCGAATTTAATTCGAAAGTGTGAACGTTTTCGATTTTCGAAATCAATCGTTTTTCGAATGCGAGGTAAACTTTTGACAATCCGAAAATCTAATTAGTGAACTTGCAAGTTGTACAATAACGCGATAAACAAGTTAAAACTAAAACTTAATGTGAATGAGTAAAAAAATACAGAGGTTACCTATTTTCACAACATAGAAATATGTAGATACCTACTTATTATATCTAAATAGTTATGTAGTCGTAAATACCTACATGAAAAATATGTGTAATTTTTTCTTGTTATTGTATTTTATTTAGTGAATACTATTCTTTTTATGAGAAATTCATTCTCAAAACATTACATAAAATAATTATTACACAAATGTAAATACTTATACATTTTATGTACCTAGTTTGTATTAGATGGGTACTCATTCAATAACTAGTTTAAATGAGTACCTGTTTATATACATCATTTTACAAGTGACACGGTAACCTCAACACGAATTTTAGATACAAGGAAATTATATTATTACATTTAATAAATAAAAACAAATAACAATAAAATATATAACATTATTTATTTTAATATATTATCTCACTTACAATTATAATTAAAAATGAAGTTTAACAAATACAAGGCATTTTACAACTAACTTGAACAAAACTTATCGACTACTTTATCTAACATATCTAATGCTCTTGAAGCTAGTCTTTGCCATTCCCTTTGATTTTCAATTTCCATTTCCCTAATCCTTATTTCCTCTAGTCTCACATCAGTATTTTCTTCTTGAGGACTTTCTTCAATATTTTTTTCAAATTTTAATTCTTTTGGAGTTTCATTTATAATGATAAACGGTCTTGTTGTAGGTTCTATCGGCACTTGCTGAACTTGCTGCACTTGCTGAACTTGCTGAACTTGCTGCACTTGCTGAACTTGCTGAACTTGCAGCACTGGCCTAATTATTTTTCGATGTGGTGCAATGATCCAACTATTTGCACCAATCAGTTTTAGTACCCTTTTCTCTAAATTTGTCAATTTTGCATAGACCACTGGCCCAGCACTAGTCCCTATAGCTGATCTTTGTAAGCGAGCAGCCTTCTTTTTAGTGTTGTTTTTGAAGTCACTCCATACCTTAAACAATTAAAATTAACGTTTAATTAAATTAGCTAGAATGACATATTTTTAACCACAAGAGATAAATAAATATTACGACAAACCTTCTTCCATTTCTCAACAGTTTTAACATCACCGCTGTTGTCACTGTTTAATATCTCAGTCAAACGCACCCAACTTTTCATATTGAGTATCCTACCACTTGGATCATGGGCTGGTTTGTTGAGGTCACCATGTCTAAAACGAATAAACTTAGTTTTAAAAGTTATAAACAAACTTACTTGTGTAGGTAACACACACACACCGGCCGAATTAAGAACCCATCTTAATGCAAATTCTTTATTGCTCTGCTTTTGACAGAAACTTCATATAAAAAAGCAAAACTCGATCTGATTCCGTATATTGGATTAAAATCGGTTGTAATTTAGGCCGCTAACCATTTGTGAATTCATTCTATGATCACATAAAAACCAAAATAACTTACTCTTCCATGAATGTCACCATTTTACTAAACTGAGACGTACTCGTTCTCATTTTCTACAAAACGAATAAACTTTACTATCACGAAAAGTTAACCTCAAGCGTAACTTCAACTTCAGAAGTACGTCAAATGTCAACGATCAAAATATAAACAATTAAGTATAAGCCACAACATTTTAAAAGGTATTTTCGTATAAAATCCAAACTACACTACGAGCCTTCTTTGAATTTAGTTGGATTATATAGTGACGCTAAAGTTGGTATCCAACTTAAGAAAAATAATAAACGCTGTACCTACTCCACGAGTAAACGCGTATCGAATCGACTAACGAGTGGTTCGAGTCGATCGACAGACAGTATCGACATATTTTATTCGATTCGTAATGATGTTAGCTCTAATTACGTAATGTTTAAGACATTCGATTTATCGTGCAGATAACAGATACGTGCGTTGAATTCATTTTTATTTAGATACGTTTAAAGATATTATGTGATCGAAATCGATTTTAAAAATGTTTCACGATCATAGTCAATCTCTATAAGACTATAAGGGAACGCTCCGTTCCGATTCATGCAGAAACTTCCACATTTTAATTATTACAATTTTTACGTTAAAGTAAAAAACGTAAAATGTAAAATAATTAATAATTATAAAAAATTTGACGAATTTTATATTATGTACTTACTTTAAAATATGCGGGTAATAAAAATTCAGATTAAACAGGTGGCATCATCATCATGTTGCGTCTAGCTGCACTGTCGTCACATACTTACATAGTACACACGGCTACACATCAATCTATACAAAACCAGTTTATCCTGGTGTCGCGTCGCATTATCTTTCCGCACATTGAACGTTCAGTTTATACTGGTTATGTAAAGCTCGATGTGTAGCTGTGTGTACAAAAAAAAGTATAGTAAATAAAAAATAAGTATAGTCTAGTCTAGTCAAATCAAGGCCTAGAGGGTTTTAGTAGAAACCAAGAGGGTCACCTAGGTACGATCCTTGGTAAAAGGGGGCGTTACTTACGCGAGTACGCCCAGCTGACCAGCAGGTGTAACCACGCGGGAGCAGTTAGTTAGGTAGAATCTTCAAAATACCTACCGAGGAGAAGGTCTCCAGCTGTATCTGTGGTAGCCCGGTGTACTTGATGGTGACAGGCTGCTGTGCTCGCAAGATGATGATGATGATATCGGTGCGAATCATCAGGCCAAGAGGCGTCTCGTGCCAGCCACACGTCCAACCCGCGTCGCCAACTTCAAACGCCTTGAACAGGGATTTTATTGCATTTAAGTTAAAATGGCTGGTAAAGTATCGTACCTACAAAATAAAGATGTTTGGAGAAAAACTAGTGAAAATCTCGGATTTACTTTAGTTTATAGACTAGCTTTTACCTGCAGCTTTGCTCGCGTCACAAAAGTATTAAAAGTAGCCTGTGACATATAACGATATACACAGCGCCATCTATAACAATACTTTTGTTTTCCCTCGGGAATATCATTTTTTTCCGAGATAAAAAGTACCCTATTATTTAATCCGGACTTCTAACTTTACGTCTGCAAAAATTCAAAGCAATTGGTTTAGTAGTTACGGCGTGAAAGCGGAACAAACAAACAAACTCACTTTCCGATTTTATTATTAGTAACGATTTACTGCAGGATCTATCTGGGTTGTCTATAGTGTAAGCCTTTGGACACATCAAATAACTACATGGTGTTAATATCATATTTCGCAAAAATTAACGAGGTAGGTTATTCGAGATACCTACGCATAAAACAATAGATACCTACTATATTTACTTTCTCAACTGATAACGTGAAGGGAAAGAAAGGGAAGTCGTGGCTTACGGTGATGGTAACCAATGTCGTGACTAGGTTTAAATGTTTAGAAACTAAACCACGTTTAGACACCAGCAAGATTTTTATCATAATGTTGTTACCTAACTTATGTACCGAAGTAAAGTCTACGCCGCGCCGAAACGTTTTTATCCAAGTGCTCATTGCTCATTCGTATTTATGTTTAGTACCTATCTGTCCATAGGTATTTTTATTAAATCCGGATTTGTATGAGGATTTTATTTCGACTGGACTTTTTCTAAAATACTACCTGTGAAGTAGATAAAAAACGACTTTGCTTAGCTATTACTTATTAATAATTAATAATATACCTACTTAAATAAAAATTAATTTCCATGCTTTAGTCTCGCTAAAACTCAAGAACGGCTGAACCGATTTAACCTTGAAATGTTCGTGGAAGTCCAGAGAAAGTTTAAAAGGTGAGAGAAAAGATTTTATGCGTCAGCTAGTTAATAATATAAGTAAAAAACCTTATTTCGTATCATAGTCCCCAGATGGCATGGTATCCACAGCTGTAAACACGCACAAATGCTTAGCAGGGAAAATAATATGTCCAAGCTGCCATGATCAAGTTTCTGAAAGCAAAATAAACAGAAGAAAGATTAATAAAATATAACTTTCATCAAAATATTGAAGCACCCATGGTTAATATTTAGGGGAGGCCTATTTTCAGCAATGGACATCTTGAGGCTGATATGATAATGATGACGACGAAGAGTGTTACTACAACGAGGATGTTTTCAGATGAATTTTAATCAGTAAGAGTCTGATACTCCCTACGCCTCATCTAGAGCAGGAGGAGCCACAGAATGATTTCTGCACATAAAAAAAATAGAGGATAAGCAAGCATGCCTACATTTTTTGTACCTTACCTCGGCAATCTGATACGCAATGAGGCAGATGGCGATGGAAGTAAACGACACTTGGTACACCAGCGGAGGTCCATATATCGATGATACCGTTTTCACAGCCCTGAAACCAATCTTATTTCATCGTATGTTCAATCTGTCTCATTTTCCCATTTGAAAATGATATACCATTTTTGGATAACAGGATATTTATTGTATTTGCCTACCCTAAAGGGAAGAAGGTGTGACGATAATTATAGTATGCATAATTAGGCACAGCAGTTTTTATAATATTTGATGTATTGTGTTAAACAGCACAGAGTTCAATCAGGGCCGTCTTAGACGTGTTGTGTGCCCAAGGGCCCCAGCGTATTGGGCAATAATTCCGGGCCTGAATGAAAGAATGTTTCTTTTTTTTTAACGTTGCACCACACTAGAATTTTCTCCTGTTTCGTGGGTGCGTTTACAAACATTACAAGTTCATATACACCAGACTCAAGACAATAATTTGTGGATCACACAAAGATTTGCACCGCTACACGTTACTGGGCAACCGATTGTCGCCCACCGTGGAGCGGGTATGTGACAGTCGTAAAAGTGTCGGTCTTTCAATGCTCCCTGAAGATGGGGTCCTCGGGCACAGGCCCTGAGTGCCCTTATGACGATACTAGGTTCAATATGTACCTAATGTAAGGGTTTTTGTAGCTATTAGTGACATATCGGGCTAAAAGTGGGCTTAACAAAATCATAGATATTTTATTTGGGAGAATAACAGTCATGATGGTACGTTATTATCGCGATTAATGCGATACGCCTGAATGGGAATGCTACTTACTGATAATCCTGAATACAGGTACACGTTTACCAAACCGTGATCATTCTGGTTCTTTCCTTTATTAAGACGTAATTAGTAGGTACCTACCTATTATATGCAATCAACTGATTTGAGAATTAATTTAGTAGGTCACCTTGAAGTTAAAGAAAGTGCTACCAACCTAACGAAAGAATATCAAGTTATTTGAAATTCCCATAAACTAATTTCTGGTTTTAAAATTTTAAATCCCTTTTGCACTTTTTCAAAATAATTGTTATTATATTTTTAAGACGCCCGCTTCTCATGCATGGGTTCGAAACCGAACAACGGCAAGACTTTTCCGAGTTATTATTTAAACACCACTGACAAAAGGTAAAGGAAAATATCGTGAGGAAACCTAGGCTTATTATTTCTAATTATATGTTTGAAATCATTGAGCAAGCTGGGTGATCATTGCTCAAACCTTCCCCGTCTTCGCCTATAGTCAGCAGTGGCCACTTATAGGCTGTTAATGTTATGCACGTTTTCACCAAATGGTTTAGAGTATTCCCGTTTGAGTTGAACACCTTTTTTTAGCTGAGACATCGTCAATCATATCATGGTCTCAGTTTGTATGACCTTTCCGGACATTCAACGGTCAGTTTATACTGGTTGCTCATAGCTTGATATGTAGTACTGTGTGGAAACCTTCTACCATAAATGCCATAAATTATCAGTTATTTAAGATCTGAAAGTTTGCTTTGCTTGCGTACAATGGTTAGTAGGTGTAGATCGTAGGTACATTAAGGTAATATTGCACCTACTTTTACTTATAGCTATTTCAAAGTTAGCCAGTTCGAAAGTGCCTTTCGGTTACTTTATTATTTAAGATATTCAGGAACCCGTAAGAAAGTGAAATTTAATCAATATGATAATTTAAAAAATTACATATCATAACATCACGCCTTTTATACCCGAAGGAGTAGGCAGAGGTGCACATTATATGCCACTACAATGTAACACCCACTTATCACTATTTATGTTATGAGTCCCATGTAATAGGGGGTGAGTCTATTGCCATATACCGTGCACAATTCCAGACTCCGTGCTACTACTGAGAATTTATTAAAAACCTAGTAATAGGTATTTAAAAAAATAATTAGAGAATTTAATTTACACACACAAAATAAACATAACATCACACCATTTTATCTCTTATGGTGTGGGTAGAAGTGCTCCATCGATGACCGTTTGCTTTTAATGAGTTTTTTTTTATCTTATGAGGTGCTGAGCCATACACAAGGCATACTTCAGACTCTATACCAATAGTAAGGTCCTACTTTGATTCGAGAACCCAACAATCTTTGCTTGACATTCGCACTGGCGATCACTTAACCAACAAGGCTGTTTAATCCTTCAGTTAGATGGATAATGAAAAATTTGCCGAATTTGAAAAAGTAGGCATAAGCTCATAACAAAATGATTTAACTTAATGGTCACAAAATTGTAAACAGCTTAATATTAGGTATCTTTTAAGGTTTAAATTGTGACAGTGTTTCATTTTATAACTTTTCTAGATAATCTTTTAATATGTATTGTAAAAAGAGCCAAATTAAAAGTATCCTTAACCGACAAGCATGCATGAAAAGATTGATGACTGTTAATGAAGCGAAAGAGATATGTAAGAATCGTAGTAACTGGTGTTCCCTAGTCTCTGCCTACCCCCATGGGAGACAGGCGTAAAGTTATGTATGTATGTATATATATATTGTAAAAGTGTTCAGAGTGCCTAGCACGAATAACTATCGCATTCGTAACGTAATAGTATCGAGTGCGTTCGGCGCTCTGATTGGCCGGCTCAAGTGAACCAACCAATCAGAGCGCTTAACTCGCTCGATACTGTTACGATACGAATGCGATAGTTATTCGTGCTTGGCCCTCAGAACGGCCAAGCCGCAAATATTTTGTCGATTAAGTTTCGAGAGACTACGAGAACATTTTACTGTATTGTCTTTATTTAATACACGTTTCTTACACTTGGGTAATACCTACTTAATTGTGTCAGAACCGCGAACTCACGGAAAACCGGAGTGTGCCGGCGACGTTTTATCGTGTAAATATGTAAGGTTACCGGAGGCCCAATCCGTCTGGAATCACGAATCAAACCCAAGACATCTTACTCAGCAGTTACACTCGATCAAAAAGGCAGTTAATTTTCAATGCAAAGATGCAATAGTCAAAATGTTTTACCTACGTTACGTACCCAAACACAGAGAGATGCCACTTAACGATCTTTTCGATTCTAGCGTTCAATATGCGCTGCGTTTCCATTCTGCGACTGTCATGTCGGGATAGCAATGCCACGGATTCTTCAAGCCCATCAAATATCACACTGAAGTCTATTATTATCATGTCCATAATCATGTAATAATGCAGCAGGATGTGGAACAGTGTGTATATGTAAACTGTGAAAATAATATTAGGTATGTAGTCATGTATTATTTAGGTGATAGGTACCTATAGGTTTAATACTCAAAGACAGGTTTTATACACATGTTTGGTGTCTAAATGATTGAGGGCTTGGAAATAATTTTCTTAATGATAAGTTCGAATATATCTAACCCACCAAATCGGTAATAAACAGTTTACCAATTCTTAATTTACAATTCCTAAATTTTCGCTCTCTGGAAACAGGGAGTACGTAGGTGCTTTGAAACTATATAAACTACCAACCGAAAGGACAGTGAAACATTTTTTATTAAAATTAATATGAGAAAAGTCTGTTTGGTCTGAGTGTTTTTTTTTATAGGACAAGCCCGCCACAACCTCCCAAAATCGCTGCAACTCCTGTAAGCCAGGACCTACAGTAGATACAACCATGAAAACACCGTAACACTGAAGTCCGGCGCGTCCCAGGGACATGAGTAACTGTCTTGGTTCCCGCAACGAAGTGAATCAAAAGATATTATAAGAGTCGCTCCGAGTGTTTATTGACTTTTGCATAATATCATGTGTACAATAGGTGTTACATTATTGCGTAGAGACAATTTTAACATGAAACACAGGGGCTATGTCCCAATTTATACGTATGTAGGTCATTTAATAATTTGGTTATTAAATTTGGGACCCAAGTCCTAACTAAGTTGTCGCGGAGAACCTAACGAGTTACCGGGGCTCCGGCTCGACGTGCAGGAGAAGGAACGGGGTGGTTTTTAGTCAGTAAGAGTCTGACACTCCCTCCCGCCTCACCCAGGCGGGAGCAGTCGCTCGATGATTTTCCCCCCTTAAAAAAAAAATCCTAACTAAGTTAAGAACACATTCAATATCAATATTTAACTGTTTTAGTACCAATCAGGATTATGCCACTGTCCACATCCACGGTGTGCAAAAGTAATTATTTAACAGTGCCGTGTGCAGTTGCTGACACAAATTTTGTTATCGGATCGACATTTGCATTGTTAAATTGTTTACCATAGAAACTAACATAGCTTTTGTTCCGGTTTCACTCATCTTAATCAATTTTACATTATTTCCCTAATTGTATCCCCCTTTACTAAAATATTTCGCTACTGTGTAGCAATTAATAGCAGCTATAGACATTTGGTGATTGTAGACAAATGGCACAAACGGAATCAATGCATGGAATGAATTGTGTGACAGCTTACATATGTTAAGCCCAAAGGCGCGTCTATGCGTCGCCGGCTTTTGGGGTTGTTAAGGCTGCGTTTCCACTGACGCGGAGCTGGGCGGAGAGGAACGGTGAAGAGCGATGAAAGCGGTGTCAGTGTTTTTACTGAAGCTGAGCGGATTGGAGTTTGGAGTTGAGCGGAGCGGACACTAGTTACACTCAATCTTTCAGAAAGACCATACGTCATAATTTTATACATATTTTTCTCTATTTGGTATAATTCGATATGGCTATAATTTGGTTATGATTTATGTCATTTGTCTTGTAACATTTAATCGCATGTAAAACCATATACAATTTCAAATTACGATGTCATCTTCGAATTCTTTACATTTTTTTTTAAAGAACAAACAATGTTAATGGAATGCATGGTACTTATGGGCCGATTTTTTAATCATCAGTTAATCTCTAACTGTAGAATAAAATTGATATTTAACAGTTTAACTTTTTAGTCATAATTATATATTCAAGGGTTACTTCTCAGTTATAATTTATCTGGCGTTGGAAAAATCGACTCATAATAATCAATAATGAATAAACTCACTAAACTTACCACAAAAAGTTTGCACAAAACAAAAACACAGTGTTGACTGAATAAAAAGGAATAATTCATAGTTGGGTGTTCTATAAGGATCGTCATGAGGAAGCCACATGGGGAATTGGAGAGGTCTGGTGGTGTTCTCGTTCAGGGTGGCGAACAGGCTTTGGTATATTAGTCCAACGAGAGGAAACACCACGTATAGGCCACCCACAAAACTGACGAAGCCGAACCACGCGTAACATAGCTGCCAGATCAATAGCTGGCCTTCCAAGAATGGTTTCCTGTAAAATTTTGTCACAATGTAAGACAATTTGATATCATCTCCAACGAGTGTCAACACACGTGCCAGTTTATTATCTAAGACAGTTTCTATTAATATTTTTGTTTGTCTCGACTTCTGTGAACCCTTTGAAGGTTTCCAGATTGGTGGTTATTGTCAATGTTCTTGTTATCTTACACTAACGCTAAAAAACTAATCAAACCTTGTTAATTTTCATAACAAAACATGCTATTATGTGTAATTAAGATAATGACCAACGCAATTTGAACTCTGACTAGATATTGTTTAGGTAGATACTATTATTATCGAACATAGCGTTGATCATTCAAATGTTAATAAAATTGGAGGGTATTTATCGTACTCTTTTATTACGTAACGTAAACAAGATAGATTAGGTACTATTGTATTAAGTAAAAAACCCAATCTCCTTTTAAAATCTTAAAGGAGGGAAATTAGAAAATCGTATAAAACTGTTTGTACTATATCTTAAAACACGTCATCACTCATTAGTTCTTAATAACTAATAATAGGTAATTTAACTTTAATCAGGTTAATAACTTTTTACACCAATTGACACGAAACTATAAGGCTAGCGGCAAGTAAAGCTTTTTGCTTAAAACTGGAGTCTTTTTTCACTGACCTGTACCTGGGTCCCAAACTACAAACATAGATAAATTCTTCGTTCATTTTGACGACGATATCGTAAATCTTGTTTGTGTGTACGAGGATGCTAACGTAGACGGTAGGTATACAGCCAAGTAGGAGCCAGTAGCAGAAACATTCAGTCGCGAACGAATAGTCCTTTAGAGACACACCTCGCCAAATGAACATCTCCTCGAAAGTCATTCCTATTATGGAAAGCTGGATACAAATGCTGGGCCATATTAATCTGCAGACAAAATAGTAAATCAGATAGAATTCCATTAGGTTTGAAGTCCAATGAGAGCAAAAACTATGCATGAAAAGCAATGGTCATAGTTTAACCCTGGTCGACACCGTCTCAGCTGCCGAGAAACTATACGGACTTTCCCAATGCATGCAATTGGCCGGTGTCGTCGCTCTGTTCCTTATATTGGGCAACAATCGAGTACAAAAAAATTAAATAAAGACGTACCTACAACGTTGGTGGTCCTCATCTACCTATATCAAGAAAAAAAAATATTCTTGATAGGAATGAGGTCATTAATAAGCACATCTACTGACAGGTTTGAAAACTGAAGAAACTCCCAATTATCTTTAGCTCATTCCGTGAAAGTGCATCAACAAATATACAAAAAGAATTTGCAGACGGACAGACTTATATTTAAAGGAGTGTACCGCTGAAAGGTCAACCACACGTTTTGATAACAATATTTTTATAACGTCAGTGATTAGAGGCCGCTCACGTGTCGACAGCTTCAGATAGTAGCATTCCTATTGTTTCGGCCAAAAACGACACGTGACACGCCATGAGGTGTTCGTCTGAGTTGTAATCGTAAATAATAAAATCAGAAATCATGAGGAGTACCTTGTACCTTGGAATTTAAGAAAAACCAAATCCTTACTTATCCTTACTTATATTATAAATCGGAAAGTGAGTTTGTTTGTTTGTTCCGCTTTCACGCAGTAACTACACCGATTGCTTTGAAATTTTGCAGACGTAAAGTTAGAAGTCTGGATTAAATAATAGGGTACTTTCTATCCCGGAAAAATGTGATATTTCCGAGGGAAAACAAAAATATTGGTATAGATGGCACTGTGTTTATTGATATAGATGGTGCTGTATGTCTTTTAAAACCAGTCAACGAATTACCTACTTATTGGAAAAATCTAAATAGCGCGATATAAGCGCATTCCACGCGAGCGCAAAGCTATTTGTTTGTTTGCCTGTCTTAAACAGCAAAACGGAGGTACTAATTAACGTGATTTTTTAACTGAAGGTAGTTGAAGGGATGGATAGTCACATAGGTTACTTTTTATCCTTTTATGACGCGAGCGAAGCCACGGGTAAAAGCTAGTGCATTATAAATAAAGTCGGTCGACAAAAATATTAAATGCATTAAGTACCTACATATATGGCCTCTTTAACGAAGTCTTTTACATTAACAATATTATGTGTTTGTGACGGGCAGTAAGAGTCGAATAAGTTACGACAGTAACAGTGTTCTTTGCTAAACTGTAACCCGCTTACCGAGCATAGCGATAAGGGCAAACCCTTCTTTTATAGATACACATTGATAGCTCAGCTATACTCTTGCGGGTGATGATGATGTCAGATTCAATAACAAAATTTTTATCTGGGGACCGATTGGGCGAACTATACATTCTCAGTCAGAGTCAGGGTAGCAATTTTCAAGAATTACATAACATTTGCCGCCCCGAGATTACTATTCCACCAAGCCATTGTAACTTTTGGCTCACAATAAACCAAAACTAGATGTTAGTCATTATATCAACTGTCGTGAGACATACTAAATTAATTATTATGTTTTCGGCTTACTCACGTATCTATTTGACAAGGAACTCGACTAGTTTCGAGCCATGCTAGAGGCTCATAACAGTTACGTTACGTGAGTAAGCCGTAAACATAATACTTAATTGTATCAACTTATTTATTTCAAAACTTGCGAGAGTATTTTCTGTTGACAAGTCCTTATCTTCTAACTACCTAATTCTACTCTCTACTGGACTCTGTTAAAAACGTCCCTGACTCATTTTTGAAGAGTGCACATTCATGTGTCGCCTATTAAGAATGAACCGACAATTTTTATTTAGCGCAGCAGAATATTAAAGGAGATAAAAATAGTGTACTAGGTAGCACTGAAGTCAAATGTCATGTATTATTTATTATCTAATGAGATCGTTCATAACAAATAAATAATGCTAATCGGGCAGGTTGGACAGTTCTCAAGACGTAAATATTTTGCAACTGACAGAGTTCGAAGAATGAAGAATGAAAGGGCTGGCTGATGCAATTTTATTCGACATTTTCAAAATTAGGAAAATGGCGCCTAAAAACAAATGTTCCGATAAAAATTACCATGCGATATTAAATCCTTGCTGGTAATATAATTGTAAAAAAAAACTTTCTGATGTGGTTTGACGTACCTAGTCTTTTATAAGCCAGAATCTACAATTTAGAGTAGACCCATTAAAGCACAGAAAAACTATTGTTTAGTTTTGTAAAAGTAAGGGATGTAAACATAAGACTGTTGATTTTCCAAAGCATTCATCAGTCACAAAATTGCAGTAGCACTTTAGTTGACAGGGTGACTTTGACAAAGGATCACGAAAGCAATATACTTATACTCGTAGATAGGCATAAGAAAGAGCACAAAAATATTCACAAAGTCATAAATATATAAAAGATAAAGTTTCTGTGATGCTGTTAGGGTCAATTAATATTACCCTAATTAGACCCTAACAGCAGTAGTCAGGAGATGTAACATTTTTAAGAATAATAAGGGAAGCTAATTATAGCAATTCAAATACATATAAAAGTAGAATTCAAAGCCATACCTGAATCGAGAGCCCCTATTTGTAAAGAATACTCCTTTAACAGCGAGAAATATGCGCAATTGTGGGTGAAAATTGTATAAATCTATATCTGGTCTGTCGAAATCAAAGGATGCCTTCATCAGAAAATCTTTTATTATTTGAAGACGCATTTTGCAGCGTAAACACAGTTAGGCTTTTGACTGCTAAAAGAAAGCTGTTGCAAGCAAATCCTTCTCTAAGGCTGCTTACCAAAGACTGAGGTAGAAGCTACTGTGTTAAAGAATACCTGAATATCTGAATCGCTTATTTTCCAAGACGAATAAGACCTTATTTTATATAATGGTCTACAATTATTGAGTTGATCGGAATTGCAACTAATTTAAATGCAATTATCGTGCACTTAACTTATTATGGGAGTTATTACTCGCTGGGTTGTGTAAAATTACGAATATTTTTATGTTCTACCAGTAATCAGAATTACTTGATAATGATATAGGAGTAACGACGGAGAATTAATTTGAAAGAAATGTAGGAAATGATCTAATTGGATTAAATAATTAATCGAAACAGGGTTGTTATGCTTGAAACCTACTTTTGTTTTATCTTTTTTTTTCATCTAATTTTTATTAATGACCAGTATCATTTTAACAATGACAACGTCAACGTTGAGAGCAGAAAGTATAGTGTAGTACCTACCTACGTAATTAATAGATAAATAGTAGTTTGGGCACCGGTCTAAACGACATGTCCATGCAGACGCTATTCCCCATTAACCATACAATTAATTCGGAATCAATAAAATTTGCCTAGCCCGGTATTCATCTCTTCAGTAGACTTGGCTCCAAAAATTACGCATCACTCATTTGTTATCTCTACAAGTAATTGCTCATCGTCAAATTAAATAATTAGTCATAATTTAGTTTTAATATATTTTACATGTGTAGGGCAGAGGTTGTCAAATGACCTACTTTAGCCTCAGCTCAACCCAGATTCGGTGTCGAATAGCGTAGTGACTGTGTTTATATTTTTGTACATCTTACAAATTATTCAGTCACTCTTTAGCGTCATTGATAAAATAAGAACGATTCGACCATTAACGGTTTGTCACTCAAAACCTCGATATAATCATTTGGAGCCTACTTTTAGATTATCGCCCTATTTATGCATATTTATTTATGATGAAATGTTTGATATCTGATGTACCTAGCTGAAAGTTCATCGTCCTCTATGGTACTGGGGCTTACGTGTCGGATGGCAACCCTAAGGGATTCTTTTTTTAAAAAAACGTTGCCACACATTAAGTTGTACTTCTGTGTCGTGGATGCGTTTACAAACATGCATGTTCACATACACAATGACACCCAGACCCGAAACAACAATTTTTGGATCACGCAAAGTGTTATTCCGTGCGTAATCGAACCCGCGACACGTTGCACGGTAGCCGGTTGCCCAGCCACCGCACCAACCGTGCAGCCATGTCATGTCATTGATGCCAGCAGTAAAATGGGAAAGGCAGATTAAAGCCAACAAATATGATATTGTGCCTTCGCATAGGCCACAATCACTTATGACCTAGTCACCAGGTACAGGTACTTATATCGTAGCGAAAAAAAAAAACAAATGCCCTAGTGGGGTAGCCCAATCCAAGAAGTTTTACTTATAACTAACATATCCAAAATATGCATACACTATAATTATAAACCATTGTAAATGAATCCAAAACTGGAAACTGTCTATAGTGGCCACAAAGTGGAATTGCAAGGGGTCTTGAATTGCCGCGGAGAACTTAACGGGTTACAGGAGCTCCGGCTCGAAGAGCAGGAGTAGGAACGGGGTGGTTTTTAGTCAGTTAGAGTCTGACATATCCTCCCGCCTCACCCAGGCGGGAGCAGTCATTCGATGGTTTTCTCCCCTTAAAAAAGGGGTCTCGAATTAGACAAAGTATGATTAAGCGGTTTTATTGGATTTTTCGACAATGTGTCGAATTGTACGTAGGTCAGCAATTTCTCTCGGTATATGTCTGTATGATAATAATTTCATCTCCTATCTCCGTACGTTTCATGTTCAAGATAAATCACGATGTCACGTTTTTCAACAGTAAAAACAGTCTCAAATTTTAAAATACTTTTTCTCATTTCGACCATCGTTTTTAGCAGTAGCGGTTGTAGAAATGAACGAGAGAAATATTTTCCCTCATCATTACACCCTTCTTTATGGGACTAGCCAGCCACAACCTCTCAACACCGCTGCAACTCCTGTAAGCCAGGATCAACAGTAGTTACAATCATGAAAACACCGGAATACCGAAGTCTTTAAATTTAAAGCCTTCTCACAAATATTCCGTACTTAATTACGATTCACCTCAGATTTTCTCGGTTGACCTTTGATTGACCGGTTGATCTTCTATACACGACTGATTTCCACAAAAAAGGATACATAATTATCCAGTTTGGTGCAATCATCCGAAAAGTATCCGACCTTACAACCTGGAGATCTATTTTTATTTATTTGGATGACTGATACTAAATGACTATCATTTTAAAATTGCTGTAGATATTCTACAAAGTGTAAATACAAAGATAGATGCAAATATGAATTGCAAACCTTGTGTACGTATTTGTTACGTTTATATTGCAATAATAATTTGTTGATTGATATCTTTATTCATAAGATTCCTGATTGCGTTATTAAATAAGTGTTATCGTTATAATCGAAGACATCATTACAAGTTGTTCTGTATCGACCAGTCTGCTCTGACACCGAAGCGCGGCGCCAGTTGTTGAAGAAAAACGTTAGGAACTGACCTGATTCAGTGCAGTTGAAATTAGTTCAATTTAGTGCCGTGTGCCAAGATGCGTTGGTCACCCTTTGTTTATCTCTGAGCGTATATAGTACCTCGGGATGTGGTTTTATTTGTGCAGTTAGCGCGTGGATCTGTCTGTCAACACAGTCGCTCTTAATTATATTAAGTGCTTCTGTTATTAATAAATAATTTATTTTAATATTTATCGAATATCGTTAACCGGTTCATAATGATTGTCCTAACAATTTTAGCCGCGTTATTTTTACCTTATTTAATTATTTATTTGTATAAAAATGCGTATAACAAGCCGAAGAATTTTCCACCAGGTGAGTAACTTTTTTTTTATTATTTTGTGAAAAAATTGTGTTTTATTAATTGTTGACAGTGTTTATTAATTTTATTTAAAATAGTGTGAGCATATTTTTTGAGTTTAAATCGAACGTTATGCTGGTGTTATTGAAGATTATTCCCATTAGAAATTATCAGTCTAGTTCAAATAAATACTTTTATTATCAAATGTGTAAATGTATTAGATAAAATTAGATATCGCAGAAAAAATTAGAAGGTGAACGACCTCTAATTTTTACGTTGAATCAATACCTATTATAGGAATATTTAGGAACATCTACTCATCCTATGCCTCTGAATTGAAACCACAGACTACTAGTATATATTTCTAATCAACAAATTATTACTAATTGTTTTAAAGAAAACAATTTAAACTTATTTTATAGATTAATAATGAAATACTTATTAGAAAACCATCCTCCCTTTTGTCTGCATAATTTTTCATTTGCGATCAATTCAAGATTTTTTATATCCGTAGGGAAATCGACATCTAAGTAGGTACTTCAACTTACTTCTTACTGATTTCTTTAAATCACCTTCAGAACAGGTTGGAAGACAAGTTCAATATAAGGTTCCTAAGTCGTAAAACCTTATTAGAAATTATTTCTATAAATGTAAGCGAAGATCTTGAATAACAAATGGGTGGGTAGGTGCACAAAAACAACGATAACAACTGTTATCGTTGTTTTTCACGCTACCCTATTACTATTTTTTATAAAATGTTTATAATAGGCATTCAATTACTAAAACTTTCGTATAAGACATACTAAATTAATTATTATGTTTTCGGCTTACTCACGTAAGTTTTCGACGAGGAACTCGACTAGTTTCAAGCCATGCTAGAGGCTCATATTCATGAGCAGCATTTCGCGACCCGGGACGCGGCGACTGTCGCGCTGCTACAGTGTAGCCTATGTATGAACATGAGCCTTTAGCTTGGCTTGAAACTAATCGAGGTCCTCATCAAGAACTTACATGAGTAAGCCTAAAACATGATAATTAATTTAGGTATTCAATTATTTAGTTATTTAAATCGTTTTATTATTGAATTTGAAATAATGCCTAGGTATATTTCAGGTACTTTGTGTTTTTTTTTAATATTTAATGTGGTATTCCGTGGTAATCCAATTTTCAAATAAATGTTTTTTCTTTCTTCTTAATTATTTTTTTTTATTTCATTAAAAAATGCGATTTTATTTGATAATTCCTATTTTCAATGAATTGGATTACCTACTTTATGTAAGAAAATTCCTGCCGATTAAGTTAGACATTAGTAAAATAATAAAATTACATTAACTCGTTGAGTACCGTCATTATAGACACAATTAAAGAACAATAGGTTGCGGTCACCGGTGTCCTCGCGGTGTTTGACAGTTTAAGTGATGGTTGACCGCATCATGTTCTTATAAATTGAATAAGTGAAACGTGCGACTAACACGTGAATTTGACAACTAACAAAAAATATTGACCAAGGAATGCGTCCGCATAACCGCTAAATTCACATGACTAAAATTATTTGCAGACTTGATAATCCGTCTATTGCTACGCAAATTATAATCTGTACTTAGAGCCATTTGTATGAATACAGGCTCCCAAATAAAAAACAGTCTGCCAATATCTCAGTAAAAAGTAATATTTGTGCATGGCACGTTTTCTAACACGAGATTTTTTAATCTTTTCATTCTTCATATTTATCAGAACTTGAAGTAACTTTACTGACACCATTCATTAGGTTAAACTTAAAAAAAAACGTAAAAAAATAAGAATTTTATCTTCGTACAAATTAGTTTTATTATGTTTATCAGGCCTCGAGAAAAGAGATTAGTTTTAATTTGCTTATTATCAGTAATTTTATTAGGTTACAATTAAACCAAAACATTATGGTACGCAACTATTGTACTTAGTTACTGTTGTTTACGATTATTGATACACTATAGCTTCGACTAGCAGCTTTGCCCGCGTCCCCGTGGGATATAAAAGTGGTCGTCTGTTATTTCAATTTGATCCCTTTTGACGTAGCCAATTTTGACGTGAAACAAACAAACAAACAAACACACACACACACATACGTACATACATACAAACTTTCGCATTTATAATTATTAGTATTTAAGATAGGTATTTTTTATAGTCACGTTCACGTTTGGTTTTTTTGTTGGAAAATGGAGGCGTGGTACACGTACAGTGTGTCCTAAATATGATACAGGTTATTTCTATAAAAAATAAAGAAAAATATTTATTATGAGTATAACGTAATTCAAAGTACCTATTCCAATAGTGAAACTATAAAATATTGGACGCTTAAATGTGTATCTCTCTTAGGAGTTGTGGTTTGTGGTGACCGTTGAATAGAAAATAGGTGTCATATGTCATTACACCAACAAAGTCGTACAAGCAAACACTAACTTTACCTACTTAAAAATTATATATGACCAAATTTTTTAATCATTCTTATGCACGGTTTTTCTTAATACCACTTGATTTTTTCATATGTAGTTTTCCCACGACAATAAAAATAAAATAATAACTGTCAGGATAATTTCTGCATTAATTTCACATTCACGTTTATATGTGGGACTGACACGGCTAGGTGTTGTCTTAAGTCAAATCTTCTAAGGCTTAGGAAAGTCCAAGGACGTGAAGTTCTTTTTGATAAGCTGAACGACTTTAAATTTTTCATTTTTCCCTATGTGGATAGTAAATTTCAAACATCGTATCTACACTTACAGGTGAATATTACAGTGTATGACTCAATAAATGAAAATCTTGATATAGATAAATACATCATGTAACTTGATTACGTCCCGTGTCTACAAACGTGTTTTACCTAAATATGTTTACGAGTGTCAAAAATTAATCAATCGTGATAATCTACCAATGCAATTGGTTTTTCAATGTAAAAAAATATTATCTTCTATAATCACGCTGCCGTACTCAGAGGAAACTATTGCTAGGGACCTAAACGATAAATAAAATAAAATGATTTGTAAGTACGAGTATATGTACGAGTACGTACGAGTAAGTATGTGTTATGTTGGTGGATTAATAATTACGACTCGAATTGATTTTACTGTACTTACTATAATTGGGTACTTGCTAATTGAGTCAAATTCAACCCTTTTTTCGAACTGTCAAAAACGACAGTTTTTTATGAATTTCGTACGATATTGTTTTTTGTGCTGTCACGTTTTTTTAGCGCTTATTTGTTAAAAAAAATACTGGATAAATACGTACTAAAATTAAATTGGTCATAAAATCTAATAATGAAAGTGTGATTATTTTTTTATATTTTATTGTATTGAACAGTTGAAATAATTTATTTTTAAATAGAAAGTCTCAAATTACATTACCCTCTTGTCTGTTGGAATGCAGATCTACGCGAGGCACAGTTTTCTATTGTGTCTCATATGTATATCGACAGACAAGAGTTTAATATGAGGCGGACACGACGAGTTCACACACCTAACTATGACAGATAGACAATGCGCTCCATGACAGCTGTTGGCCTTATATCTATATATTTAAAAATGAAACCCGTTTCCTGTTGTCACGCCTAACTTGAGAACGGCTAGACCGATTTGGCTTATTTTTTTTTTTTGTTCTGTTTGCTATTGTCAGGAGAAGGTTCTTATGACAGAAAAAGTTCCTGAAAATCCTACGGGAACGGGTGAAAACGGGATTGCGCGTACGAAGTCGCGGGCAGAAGCTAGTACTTACTAAATTAGTGATGTTTATACACGTAACAGCATGTACTACATGTACATAATGTTATCGTTGCCAAGCAATAAATAAAAAAAAATATGATTATAATGGGTATTATCATGTTTATCATAATGGAATGACTGAATTTTATTCACAAATCTTCTGTCGAAAGAGATCGATTCCCAGGTTAGAAAAGTAGGTATCTAATATATTGGCATGCGATACGTAGGTACCTACTGTTGTATGTACATATCTTCTGTAATCATTAGTCGGTTCAACCAAATGGCTACTGTCTTCGTACTGAATCAATTTTTATTTTCTTACCTGCATAACATAATATACACATAACATCACGCCTTTCTTCCCCGAAAGGATAGGCAGAAGTGCACATTATGGCACTTATAATACCACTGTACCATGTAACACCCACTTTTCACGATTTTATGTTACGGGTCCGATGGGGGTGAACCTATTGCCATATTTCGGGTACAATTCTAGACTCTGTGCTACCACTGAGAATTTGTTAAAAACCCAGTAATGCTTTGCCCGACCCGGGAATCGAACCCGAGCTTGCGACCACTCGGCCAACAAGGCAGTCTTACCTGCATACAAAATACCAGCTGTGCAGACTGTACCTAACCATGAACATTAATAACTGTACCTACCACTGCTTAATAATCACTGATTAAAAATTCTCGTTACACATATATTTTTCTTTGTTCCAGGCCCACCGAGTCTGCCAGTATACGGTGCCTTCTGGATAGTTCTGGCCCATGGGTTCACTGACCTCGCAACAGCTTTTAAGAAGCTGGGAGAGAAATACAAAACGAAGATCATAGGTCTCTATATGGGACCTGTTCCAACCATAGTGCTGAATGACCCTGAGCTGATCAAGGAAATGCTGAACCGGGAGGAGTTCGACGGACGGATGGACATCATTATATTTAGATTGCGGTCATTTTGGAAGAAACTGGGTGAGTTTTAATACAAGTACATTGTCGCCTCGCTGACCTAGGTCTTATCTTTTGTTCCAGTAGCAACTCCACTTTCTAGAAACGTCAAAGTCATATCACTGGAAATTGTTACTAAGTGCTCTTCACTTCATCTCTCCATCTCTCGTTCAGGAAACTTCATGTTTCATTACCTCAATAATTAACTACATATACACAACTAGCTACTACCGCTCAGTTTCACACGCTCTGCTCAGCTCCTATTGGTCGTAGCGTGATGTTTTATAGCCTACAGCCATCCTCGATAAATGCGCTATCCAACACAAAAAGAATTATTCAAATCAGACTTGTAGTTACGGAGATTAGCGCGTTCAAACAAACAAACAAAAAAACAAACTCTTCCGCTTTATATAATAGTATAAGATAAGATTATTAGAGTAATGTATGGACAGTAGACATGCCCTGAGTTTACTCAAAAAATTGCCAAAAAAGCAGTTCATCAGGAAATAACTAGTTTAAATGCAGTTAATCTTGTTTACGAAAAGAATCACTCTATGTTTACATGTAAGTTTGCGGTCAATTTAAAACAAAGTTTATGTTTAAAATAACCTTGATGTAATTACTACATTTTATAGTAACTAAAACCAGTAATGTTTATCTCATTCTCATTTAGTTTCATATGTTATTTGGAAGTTTCCACAGTCAACAATATGTTTTTATTTTCACTGTTATATCTCTGTTTAAAATTAAGATATTTTAAAAATAACTTGTTTTCGGCATTATCGAATGACACAGTCCAAACAGTAACAGAAAGTAAATTGTTATCACAATTTCCAAGGACTGACAGGCGGACATAATCTCTTGAAACAACGACTGTAGGTCTGTGGAAACTAGCTACTACTTATAGACTTATACTATCTATTTGTCGCGGAGAACCTAACGGGTAACCGAGGCTCCGGCTCGACGTGCAGGAGAAGGAACGGGGTGGTTTTTAGTCAGTAAGAGTCTGACACTCCCTTCCGCCTCACCCAGGCGGGAGCAGTCATTCGATGATTTTCCCCCCTTAAAAAAAATACTATCTATTTATTTACATTAAAAATACTTATAACAGCAAAAAGTCTATTATAAATTGGATAAAAACTCTCACATATGAAGATACCGAGGCATTTCTTCAACAGATTAAATAGTTAGACAAAACGCACACGCACACGCACTCACACACACATTCTTAGACACAAACACACACATGGTCAAACACACGCGCACAAACGTACACAAACTTTGCCCTTTCTTCCATTCCTCCTGTATTCCAAATTGTACTGTTATAGCCAAAAAAGCTTTTATTGATATTTTTGTAACATCTTTTATTGTTTACATAGGCACATACCTGATTATACAAACCTACTGGTATTGTTATTTTTGAAAAAACGTCTAAGGAAGAGCGGGGTCTCCTAACACAGGCACATCTTGCTTAAAAGGAGTCCCCAAGCACGATCATCCAATGTAATCACAAATTACTATACTATAGGATTTTCATATTCATTTTCATTTTCAGACCCAGAACATTTGAGAACATAAACACATTGACACGAAGGACATCTGTCATTTTTCTTAGTACGAGTTTCTTGTACGTTTAAAGTAATCGAAACTGCGTTCGGTGCTCTGATTGGTTTGTTCATTGGAGCCGGCCAATCACAACGCCGAACGCGTACTCGTCATACTAAGGCCTCTGGTAACGTGGTAACCCACTACACACACACGCACACATAAATAAACCACCACCATTTTGGTGCTTCACTCATTTCTAAGAGACATTATGTTCGCCTTTTTTCAACAACCTTGACGATGTCATTCGACTGCCATTGTCGTATGATAGATACTTGTAGAAGAATGAAACTGAAATACCAGTACGCAATCTTATTCATAATTATCCTGTTTCCATCCACGTCCGATATATCCCATTATCAGTTATCACAGATACCAACATTATCACCATCAACCTATTTGCTGAACGGAGAATGTTTGAGCATTAATCACCTCGCTTGCTCAAGACGGGTTGGCATAGACTCTTTAAAAATTCCCCTATCGCGTGATCCGTCATATTTGCTCAAAACCATACGTCCAGTAGCATTAAAATCTCAATACAATCAATTCAAATATTCAATGATCTGTGTATTTGTGAACTTAAGCAAATACGTCAATATTTAATTAAAGATATTATATAATGTATAACTAAAGCGTGTGTTTATTTAAATGCAACATTTTCCTTTATCGTTGGAATTATCTAGACACCTAGGTTTATTCTATTACGTCAATAGGTATGTTTAGGTATTGACAATATTAGCTAATTGTTATGTGTTTTCTACTATAAATATTTAACTAAGTTTCATGCAGTCGTTGAATGTCAGTGGTACTCCATCTGCCACAGACAATAAAATAAATTAAAGCTTCTGTGGTCATTTCAAATATTTTGGGCTTCTAGATTCGCTGTGCAATAAAATAATGAATTTATTTTCTAAATAGGGTATTTTAATACAGCACTTTTACAAGTGCGTTACCGGCCTTTTGGGATTAGGAATTTGAGGATTGTTGGGGATTCAGGGATTGGGGAAAGGGGGGGGGGGGTAATTAGGCATCCGGTAACCTCACTCACACGACGAAAATAATATCACTATTAATACTACGGTATCACTCCGGTCAAGCCGGCCCATTCATGCCAAACCATGGCTCTCCCACCACACTTTGACACGGCAACATTAAAAAAAAACTCTAAATGAGGATGGCTTATGACAGAGGCTTATGAGGGAGAAATCATTTAATGATTTCCACTCTTCAAAAAATGGCAAATTTCTTTTTTTTATCTTTTTTAAGGCAACCGAGTCTTCAATACGATGCTGTCGACTATACTGCCAGTGTGGCAAATTTCTTTTTTCACAAAGACAGTTAATATACCGACTTCAAAGTCAAAATTATTTATTTTATAAATAGTTTAAATTAAATACCAAGTACAATAGTAAAATAAAACAAGTACATTAAGACGTATAAACTATGCCATCAATGCCACATCTAGTAAAAATAGTTCATGTATCAAGTCATTGATTAACTTATTGGTTTACCCACATTTACTTCATATTTTTGTTATAGTTTACTGGTCTGCCCGTGTTGCTTGATTCTGTTATTTGTGTATATTTATCACTTTACTCACATTTTTACCCTCGAACTATAATAATGGAATCATTACAATGATTTCATATGTATAACATTATTAAGTTATCATAATATCAAGCATACATTACCTATTATTGTTTTAAAATACTTAAAAAGGCTTACACAGCCTGTAAAAGTGTTGTTATTTGAAGACGGAATTGTGACTTAGTATAGTAAGTTTTTCAATTTGTGTACACCTACTTATTTTAATAAAGAATTTTATAAAACAAACAACTCACATTTTTAAATAGTGAACATTTGTATTTGTTCTTTTGTATTGTTTTTGTTTATATTATTATGTACGTACTACTGTGCGCTCTAAATTGTTTACTTTTGTATGAAATATTGTTTCTCAGTAAGTGAATTATGTATATGATTCTTTATGAGAAATAAAGATATTCTAAACTAAAAAAATTTCAATTAGACCAGGAAGGCACTTTTGAAGGCACTTGACCATAGTAATGTGTGAAGTTAAATCGATTCGATGTCTTTACTAAGCAAGGAACCGTTAACCATTTCACACCTTTCTCTGCAACTTGTTTCGAGCTTCGAGATAGTTGTCTACTTCATTTTATGCAGAGGCCTAGTACGACTTTGTTTTACGTTTAAAGTAATCGTAACGAGTACGCGTTCGGCGCTGTGATTGGTTGGTTCATTGGTGCCGGCCAATCAAAGGCCTTAGTACGAGTTTCATTTTCGTTCAAAGTAATCGTAACGAGTACGCGTTCGGCGCTGTGATTGGTTGGTTCATTGGTGCCGGCCAATCAGAGGCCTTAGTACGAGTTTCATTTTCGTTCAAAGTAATCGTAACCAGTACGCGTTCGGCGCTGTGATTAGTTGGTTCATTGGTGCCGGCCAATCAGAGGCCTTAGTACGAGTTTCATTTTCGTTCAAAGTAATCGTAACGAGTACGCGTTCGGCGCTGTGATTGGTTGCTTCATTGGTGCCGGCCAATCAGAGGCCTTAGTACGAGTTTCATTTTACGTTTAAAGTAATCGTTACGAGTACGCGTTCGGCGCTGTGATTGGTTGCTTCATTGGTGCCGGCCAATCAGAGGCCTTAGTACGAGTTTCTTTTTCGTTCAAAGTACCTAATCGTGACTGCCTCGCTGGCCGAGTGGTCGCAAGTGCGACTGCCGGGCAGGGAGTCTCGGGTTCAATTCCCGGGTCGGGCAAAGTATTACTGGGTTTTTAAAAATTCTCAGTAGTAGCACGGAGTCTGGAATTGTGCCTGGTATATGGCAATAGGCTCACCCCCTATTACATGGGACTCACAACATAAATTGTGAAAAGTGGGTGTTACATTGTACAGTGGTATAATGTGCACCTCTGCCTACCCCTTCGGGGATAAAAGGCGTGATGTTATGTTATGTACCTAATCGTAACGAATACGCGTTCGGCGCTGTGATTGGTTGCTTCATTGGTGCCGGCCAATCAGAGGCCTTAGTACGAGTTTCTTTTTCGTTCAAAGTACCTAATCGTGACTGCCTCGCTGGCCGAGTGGTCGCAAGTGCGACTGCCGGGCAGGGAGTCTCGGGTTCAATTCCCGGGTCGGGCAAAGTATTACTGGGTTTTTAAAAATTCTCAGTAGTAGCACGGAGTCTGGAATTGTGCCTGGTATATGGCAATAGGCTCACCCCCTATTACATGGGACTCACAACGTAAATTGTGAAAAGTGGGTGTTACATTGTACAGTGGTATAATGTGCACCTCTGCCTACCCCTTCGGGGATAAAAGGCGTGATGTTATGTTATGTACCTAATCGTAACGAATACGCGTTCGGCGCTGTGATTGGCCAGCTCCAATGAACAAACCAATCAGAGCACCGAACGCCGTCTCGTTTCGATTACTTTAACCGAAAAAGAAACTGGTACTAAGCCCTCTGAGTGCCGAACGCGTACTCTTTTCGAATACTTTAAACGTAAATCAAACTCGTACTAATTCCTCAGTAGTGTTTTGAATTCTAGTATCGAATCTTTCTCTTTAAAATAACTATTAGGTACATAATGCTCGCTTAACAGCAGCACATGCATATCCACTAGTGTCCGACCGAAGGTATATTTTTGGCCGAAGCCGAAGGTTTATATTTTCTCAGCACTCAGTCAATTATTTTGTTCAATATTGTCTACAAGCTACAATTAATGTTAAAATTATTTCAAAACCTCAATATTGAAGGTTTATATTGACTGTCTTATAAAGAAGTTTATGATATATCAAAGAGATGGTTGGTTTAGAGATTAATAAAAGTTTGTGATTTACCTACTGGTAAAAGTAATCATTTCTTTATTATGAATAATTTCACAAATTACAATTAGATCAATCAGTCTTTGTTTTACTGGACTAGTGATATTTTGTGATATTATTTGATAGTGCATGCAATATGATATTTTGACAGTGACTCCCCGCCGCCTCATGACATTCGTAACAGTTCGTTCAATCGTTCGTTTAATCTCGGCAGTCTCTCGGACCTTCGGCGAAACCTTCGGCTTCGACCAGGTTTTGGGCCGAAGCCGAATGTTTGCCGAAGGTGGACTTTTTGGCCGAAGGTGGCCGAAGCCGAAGCTTCGGTCGGACACTAATATCCACGTAGGTACAAACTAGGTTCTATTCGCAAAATTATTAGGCGACAATTTACAATGATTCGAAAATTGTCATAGGTATACAATGAAACTTAGGTAAATGCATTTAGAAAATTGAATTAATCAATATGCAAAATTAATAATAGTGCAGTGATTCGTATTATTATTAATATTAATTAATTAATAACAAACGTTATCACCGGATCCAGATACACAACCGTAATAGCATTTATCATCTTCAAAGACCTTGTTATTTCAGGAAATAGATTTCAGGAAGTAAGTATCTTCCTGAAATAATTAATCAATTATATTTATTATAATATAATTTATACATTGAAACAAGCAATTAGGATCTTAGTTATCACATAGTCATTAACCAAGTAATTAAAGTCGGAGAACCGATGATCGTTGGGGTAGACTGACGTGTTCTGAATTGGAGACTGCGTCTAGATAAACGTAGTAGAGTAATGCGTGTAAGGCGCCATCTAGCTCCGTGGAGTAATGATTTTCGTAAAGTGACTGGTTGTGGGTGAACAAAGAGATGTATATCGAATGGGTGCTATCGGTTTTGGTTACCAAATGCTACATAGCAAGAAGTTTTTGTTCCAATCACTGCAGCTTTCAAATATTGAAAGTTCGATTCTGTGACAGTAGCAAATTCCCCATTGGACGAAAAACGAGAGATCACACCAGCGCCATCTGTTGAGCAAATACAGTTGCCCCCATTCAGTGGCATGCTAATGGAGACGCCATGTTTAACATAACGGAAAAGGGCTGATGCCGATGACACTATTTAACATTGAAGTCAAAAATAAATAGTTTCTTTGTCATTGTACGAGGGTAAATAAACGCATTGTTTATCAATGAACATATCAGCCAGTCACGACAATAAACTCGACTACTTGTAACAATTGCAACATGTAGTTATTTATTAATAATGATAGTAATAAATTACTCATTTTAGCGTTTAAATTCCATTCCATTCGTCTGCAATCAATGTATGAATGGAATGGAAGTGAGCATGAGATTTTTTACTGAAGAAACGCTTTGTCTGAAATAATTAACGAAATTAAATTTATATATACTTAGGTTCATTATCTTCATTAGGTTAAATATTTTTAATGGGATCCTCTAGAATAATACCTCAATAAATCAATACCTCGGAAAAACTTTATTATTTGGATTTTTCATAAAACAAATTTCTCTAGAGATACCATCGTAGTGCGCGGTTTTAAATCGAGGGTATATGGGAATAGGCTTGCCTTACGTTATATTAAGATCAAGGTGTATCGTCATCAGCCGTTTCCTGTATTACTGGGTTTTTATAAATTCTCAGTAGTAGCACGGAGTCTGGAATTGTGCCCGGTATATGGCAATAGGCTCACGCCCTATTGCGTGGGACTCATAACATAAATAGTGAAAAGTGGGTGTTACATTATACAATGGCATAATATACACCTCTGCCTACCCCTTCGGGGATAAAAGGCGTGATGTTATGTTATGTGTATCGTCATCAGCCGTTTCCGTCCACCGATGGGCATAACCTTATTCAATTACACACTACTGCTCTCGATCTTCAGCCTTTCGCACCCAACTACGGCCAGCCACTTTGTAGATATCACCTGTCCTTAACTTAAAGGCATGAATATAAAATTCTTTCTTCTTAAATAAATAAAAAGTTTCACATATTCACACATTAATATATTCAAATATAATCATATTCACATATTCGTTTTATTTAAAGTATTACTGTGTTTTATTCACATATTAGTTAATTAAGTCCGTTCGCATTGTTTACAAAATCTAGAATATAAGGGAAGCCTATTATTAGCCTTAATCTCTGTAATTCACGCAAACTATTGTAAACTATACGTTACGCTGTTGGTTTTCTAAATAAATAAAATAAAAAAAAACAAAATATTCACATATTTACATATTCACACATTCACACATTCACATCACTTTCTCAATGATACCTTTTGTCCAGGTATATTCTTCACGGACGGATACTTCTGGCATCAGCAAAGAAGATTTTCACTCCGTTATTTGAGAGACTATGGGTTTGGAAGGCGGTGTGAAGACCTGGAGTCAGTAGTCGCGACTGAAGTCAAGGAGATGATAGACCTGAGGATTGGTGGACCGAAGTATCCTGCTGAAATGGTATGAATTTCAATTTAAACATACTACAGTTAGTTAAGATTCTCCTGATAACTGTGTCTATTTTTTGGTCATTAATTTCCTGCCTTGACTTTACCAAAAAAAGTCAAAGTCAAAGCATTTATTTCATTTAAACCATAGTTTGGTACTTTTGAAACGTCAACAAATACAAAATAAATAATAGTCTGTCAGTCAGTCCGTCAGTGAAACTAGGTGAAGCTAGGTGCTCATTCCAAAAAGTGGATTCGAATGGAGAAGAACGAGCAAGAAACTCCATTCGTTACTCTTTTTAATAAAGTATGTTCTACAATTTCTCTGATACATATTTCAATACTGTACGCATATGTAAGATCAATGCAAAGACATGCTTGACGCATTATACTAATAACTTACTAAAATTAAAAAAAAAAAAGAAATCTTGAAGTCCAACATGGTGCTCACATATGCATACTGACAATCCATAGAATTAGTGCTTCTATACAAGAAAAGGAAACTCTTTGTTCCAAATAATAATTTAACTCGTCGAGTACCGGTTTTATAGACACAATTAAAGAACAATAGGTCGCGGTCACCGGTGACCGCTTGGTGTTTGACAGATTAATATTCATTTTGGTGCAATCATTCAGAATTGCTGCACATTGCGTGTACGTAGTTTTGTGTTCGGATGACTGTGTAGGTATATTCATCTATATATATAAAATTCAAAGGTGATTGACTGACTGACTGACTGACATAGTGATCTATCAAACTCTTTTGTCTAGCTTTAAGTATTTCTATTTTTAAACGGTTTTATTTTTTTGCAGGATATCGTCAAGGGTGACCTAGTCTACATGCCATACTTCTTTGCAATACCGTTCCTCAATGGTATGCTCCAAGTATTCTCTCGCAGCACTCTGCCAAGGTCGGAGTATAAAGCACTTTGGGCTCTTACCCGTGGTACCGTCTTGTTCCAAAGGAGCTCGACTGATATGGGAGGTGCCCTCTCCTTGACTCCTTGGCTGAAAGACATTCTGCCAAACTACAGTGGATACAACGATCTGGTGAAAGGAAATCAATACCTGTTGAATTTCTTCAAGGTACGTGTTTTATTGTTTATTAATGAACTACTCGTTCTGCTATTAGGTAAAACTTTATCGCCGGAATACTGAAACGTTACTCAATTTTAAGTCGTGCTTAGTTTAAATATCGTGCCATCTCTGTCATTTTACAAAGAATTAGTGGAGACAGAACTATACTTAAGCGCGACTTAAAATTGAGTAGCGTTTTAGTATTCCGACATATGTAATGTAATATTTAATTATTTTATCTGTTATGTTTATTGGAGTCAAAATTAATATTTTGAATTAATAATTTTGATAGTAGGTACACACGGCCACACAATTAATCTATACAAAACCAGTTTATCCTGGTGTCGCGTCACATCATCTTTCCGCACATTGAACGTTCAGTTTATACTGGTTATGTAAAGCTCGATGTGTAGCCGTGTGTACTATTTAAAATAGAATCTTCATCATCAACAGCCGAAAGACGTCCACTGCTGGACAAAGGCTTCCCCCTTAGTCCTTCACGTCGACCGATAACTCGGCACATGCATCAACTCTAGAATAGAATAGAAGACAATATTGTTAGGTAACATTTGGACTTGACACTAGACCTAAATTAAATTGTTATATTTTCGGCTTACTCACGTAATAATTTGACGAGAAACTCGACTAGTTTCAAGCCATGCTAGAGGCTCATATTCATGAACAGCATTTCGCGACTGTCGCGCTGCTACTGGCTACTCGAGTCTGCAGGCCCAGCGCGCCCTCTGCCGTGATTCACGCGCACTTTCCTCTATTCGTGGTATCGGCGACGGAGGCGCGCGTGACAAGTTACAGTACAAATATAGACTAAATTAATTAGTTCTTAGTAATGATCAAAAGGTTTAAGGAAGTCTGCTATTAACCTGCCTAATAAAATATTTTTTTGTATTAGCGGAAACATGTCAATAGTACTGCTATTACAAAAGAAACTACTGCTAAAGAAGAGCACCTAACTGTTGAAATTGTGATCTTATTTTCAAGTGCAGGTTCATTGACCTCAAACACAGTCACAAATTCGTTTGATGGTCACGACATCTGTTACCGTTCTTTAAGTGTTAATGCAGTTAATGGTTTGACATACCCTATTCTTAGAATTTTGTAGGTGTATGTAGTTAACTGGTGATTCAACCTAGTAGGAATATCATAAAATACTAATTACTTATTACTTAATGACTTTAGTAATAAGAATTAAAATCCTATGCAGTCAATGACACAGTTTCATGTTTTGTATTTACCTTTATATGTCACTGCGTCGTCGTTAAATTTTGTGCAATTAGAGGATACGAAATTCAGTTTGTAGGTTCTTTCCATGGTCAAGAAAGGCTTTCAGTAACTTAAGTTATGTCTTGAGGTTATCGATGTAGTGTACAAATAGTAACTAATACGTATAAGTACTTAATTAGTAAAATTTTGATCTTCTTACAAATCTTCTTACACAATAACACGTATAACAATATTTCTCACGTTATAAGGCAACACTTGATATTGAAAGAATATCAAAGTTGAATGCACGTCCGCTCGCTTGTTCAACTTTTTGATAAATCCAAATTGAATTTCAGAAATTAATAAACGAAGCTATGGAAACCCATGACGAGACTTACGACCGTCACTTCTTAGACATGTACATCACGAAAATGAAAGAAGAAATGCGGGAGAAAGACAAGACTACATACTCAGGTAAATATTTAAAACACGTTATTTTTTACATCTTCAATATCATCTATATCTCATATCTCATATCATCAGGGATTCTACAAATCTTAGTCCATACTTGTCTTGAATATTTCCCTAACAATATTACATTTTACTAGTTTTTACCCGCGGCTTCGCTCGCGTCACAAAAGAATAAAAATTAGCCTTTGTGACATATACCAATACACATAGCGCCATCTATACCAATACTTTTATATTTCCTCGGGAATATCAATTTTCCTGGGTTAAAAAGTACCCTATTATTTAATCCGGACTTCTGCAAAAATTCAAAGCAATCGGTTGAGTAGTTACGGCGTGAAGGTGGAACTAACAAACAAACTCACTTTCAGATTTATAATATTAGTAAGGATAAGGATTTACATAACATAACATCACGCCTTTTTATCCCCGAGGGGGTAGGCAAAGGTACACATCACGGCACTTAATGCCACTGTACAGTGTAACACCCACTTTTCACTGTTCATGTTATGAGTTCCATGTATTAGGGGGTGAGCCTATTGCCATATACCGGGCACAATTCCAGACTCCGTGCTACTACCTACTGAGATTTTAAAAAACCCAGTAATACTTTGCCCTTTTTATGAATAAATTACACATCACACATTCCTAAATCGGTGTTTTCCTTTTTTCTGTCATCCTTCAGGCTAACTGTAAGCTTTGAATTAAATCTATCTTTGATTTAAAGAAGGTGTAAACGTAAAACTCCCGGAAAACGTCAACGGGTTATAGTAAAAACAAGGGTTATTTCCATAAAACTAAGGCATTGAATGTTTCTTTTATGTAATTATAGTTGTAAACAACTGCTTAAGGCGGATATTGCATGAATAATAGAAAAACAAAAACAATTTCTTATTGCCAGCGTTTTGAGAGGATTCTGTTTACACCCTATATGTTATGAATTTTATTACTATATATACACTAGCTGAGCCTACGACTTCATCCGCGTGGAATAGTGATTCACAGCTCCTCCCCCGTAGTTGATAGCATGATAACATTCAGCCTATATGTTGACTCGACCTTTTAGTAATATTCATGCAAAATTAGATATAAATCCATGCAGTACTTTTTGAGTTCATCCCGTACATACAAACAAACAGACAAAAATTTTTAAAAACCATAGTTTTGGTTTCATCGACTGTAGATTACGCTCAAAGCATTCTTTTAAAAAATATTCGATGTACAGTCTTCACTTTCCTATGATTTTATTATACACTAACTACTTCCGCGCGGTTTCACACGCTCTGCTCAGCTCCTATTGGTCGTAGCGTGATGTTTTATAGCCGATAGCTATCCTCGATAAATGCGCTATCCAACACAAAAAGAATTATTCAAATCAGACTTGTAGTTACGGAGATTAGCGCGTTGAAACAAACAACACAAAAAAACAAACTCTTCCGCTTTATACCTCTATAATAGTAGGTATAAGAGTAAGTATAAAATAATATAATATGTAGGTACCTGTGGAAAATGTAGGTACGTAATTCTAAATTCCGTATTAGAATAATCAAATTATAATTTTATCGTGAATTATCGGCTAGAAGGCGTATTATTCTAATTCTAATTCTTCATTATCATAATATTTACTTTATCTAAGTCTAAGCCTTTTAATCCACGCTATGTTTCCATGTAAACTAATATTAAAATAATGTTTTATCCATAGATATAATATTTAATATTTCTGTGGTTTTATCTAAATAAGTCCTACATGTGAATGTGATTATAAGGAAATCTAACGTAATAGTCGTTTGTTATTAGATTAGCCTTTAAATATGTAATTAGGTATTAGTAGATAAAAATATTGACTACTTACTTAAGCTAGGCGACCCTATCTAGGTAGGTACCTGAGTAAGTACCAACTTAAATTAACCTACGACCGTTTACTAGGGGAGATGACAAATTTTTATTTTAATGTCCGTCTGGTACATTATTTAAAAACATTAGACACGTGTTTTTTATATTCTTACGGACACGAATAGTTTCGTAGATTTATATTGATTTAAAATATCGCATGGCGGTACTTTTGAGTACGATTTATACTCTAAAATGTCGTAGCTACCTCCCACTTTTAAATTTTGATTCGTTTTATCTAAGTATTGTTTTCTTAAACGACAAAATAAAAAAATACGTGTCTAATATTTTTTCATTAAGTACCTAACTGACGGAGTAAATAGATTTTTAATTTTTACACCCTGTCATCATCCCTATTATAAATAGAAACTTTTTGCTAAACCGTAGAAGCGGAATGGTTTTCGAATGAGATCGAATTTACGTTTTGGCGACAAAAAGATAGGTACCTACCACGTTAAGCGCTATGGGGGTCACCGATGGCCGACATCAGTGGAGAATCTACCTCCAACAGTGTTTTATTGGCAGTCAAAGCCTTAAAATAATCTGAATCATAACATTAAAAAATATTGAGTGAAAATATGATTCGTATTGAACGAATGCCCGTAGTTAGGTTTTAATAATAAAAATTGCGCCTATCTTGTTTTGCACACAACTGCTTGTTTTGCGTAATTGCAATATTTAAATGATAATGTTTGTTTTGTCGGTTGTCCGACCTACTTATGTCAATAGCTCATTAAAATAACTATTATGATAATTATTGCAGCAACAATATCTAGAAACATTTATCTACTGTTTTAAGTACATTTGCCAGGAACAGGAAAATGTCATATTATAAATCATAGGTATCTCATGTAATTGCATTTAAGTATTCAGATATTTTATTTATTTGAAGTTGAACGTACTAAGTAGAACTAATATTAGAAAGATACAAAGTGCGTTTAGCTATTAGTTACTCATCTTTTTTAGACTAGATTCAGACCAGATAACTACCTAGGTATCTCAAAAAAAAATGGTATTTCATCTCTAAAGCCATCCCTATAGTCTATTAGGATATTACTTACCTAAGAATACATATTAAAGAATAAGAATACAAGTGTGGGAGTGCCATGCTTCGGCACGAATGGGCCGGCTCGACCGGAGTGATACCACTGCCTTACAGAAAATCGATGTGAAGCAACGCTTGCGTTGTGTTTCGTCGTGTGAGTGAAATTACCGGAGGCCCAATTACCCTCCCCTTCCCCAATCTCCCCCCCCTTCCCCAATCTCCCCAATCCCTGAATCCCCAACGATCCTCAAACTCCTAATCCCCCCGGTAACGCACTTGTAACGCCTCTGGTGTTCCAGGTGTCCATGGGCAACGCCGATTGCTTACCATCAGGTGATCCGTCTGCTCGTTTACCGGCTTATGCCATAAAAAATAAAAAAGAAGGTAGTGTCCATAATGGTAGACCGCGTCAATTTAAACATTACAAAATTGAGGCGGGTGCAAAATTTGTCTTTTGTTAAGAATTTTGTGGTTGGACGTAGCCCCTTCTCATATACGCACTAGCGGTTTCCTGTCTAAGCAGTTCATATTGCCTGACGCGGGGACATAGGGCTTAAAACATCGCGGGCGGTTTCAGGGTCTAGGACCTTAGTGAGGCGCGGAAAAAGCTATGCAGTTGCTTAAGCCTTTGGAAAGTACTTTTGTAATCAATATTTCTTCTGAATGCTAGTTTTATTTTATGTTTCAACAGAAATATCATGTAAAGTGGTAATTAATGTTCGTCCTATAGTAATTAAGTGATAATAATATTGTAATGAAATTGATTGATTGGCAGGATATTTGATATTTCACAATTATTTTATCGTAGCGGATATCCAAGCAACAAAATCTTTGGATCCGTTTCGTACATTATGTATTTTTATGTAAAATTCGTTTAATTACATTTAAAACATATGCAACAGTGATATATGATGTTTACATTGATATTTGTAATCTGTTTCTTCTTCATATACCTACAGTAGCAAAGAATAATTTAATACTAATCATAACATTCGGTTTCTGAGGTATGTTCATTTACATCAATGTGTCATAAAATAAACTTATCATAAGTACCTACATATGTCATACTAATAATAATCATACTACTCATTAATAATAATAATAAATTAGATCTCAGAAACGAGTTATTAATGCAATTTTAATTTATTTAGAAATTAATTACTAATTCACATTAGACCTATTTATTTATACACTTTAAATTAGGAACGTGGATCGAAATTTAAATACGAGGAAATGTTAACGTAATATTGAAAACTTATTTTTGTAAAAAATAACCCCTGTTATCTTATAGTTTAATCAGAAAACACGTTAAAATGTCAACAGTTACGCAAAACAAATAGCAGGTGCGTTTAAGGATGTTAGATTTAATTCAGCAATAAATAATGATTACGTAGTTAGGTAGATGTTTCGCAATATATACGCAAGCGACTGACTGCACATTTAACTTACAAATTAACATTAAAAAATAGTGAAACAAAGCTACTGAACCCTATAAAAATTAATATTGTGACCATAGGGGGGACTGCAGTGTCCAGCTGTAAGGTCGTAGTGGCGGTGTCTCTGGACATCGCCAACGCCTTCAACTCCCTGCCCTGGAGCTGCATCTTGGAGGCACTCCGATATCATCGGGTGCCTACCTACCTCCGTCGTGTAATCGAGGCATACCTGACGGACAGGTCCGTCATCTACCCCGGTCACCGGGGCGAGTGGAACCGGCGAGAGATGTCACGCGGTGTTCCACAGGGTTCGGTTCTGGGGCCGCTCCTGTGGAACATCGGTTATGACTGGGTGCTGCGCACCGATCTCCCGAACGGCGTTAGCATGATATGCTACGCCGACGACACGCTGGTGCTAGTGCACGGGAGGTCGCACCAGGCGGCGGCCGATTTAATGGCGACAGCGGTTGCGACAGTCGTTGAGAGAATCCGGCAGTTGGGACTCGAGGTGGCGCTCCACAAGTCCGAGGCCATGTGTTTTCATGGCCGCGGCAATGCGCCACCTCCTGGTGGGTCTCAAATAATGGCGGGAGGGGTTACCATCGGCGTCGAGACGGCGATGAAGTACCTGGGACTCGTCCTCGACAGTCGATGGAACTTCGTGGAGCACTTCCGACGTTTGGCTCCAAAGTTGGCGAGGGTGGGGGCTGCGTTTAAGCGCATCCTCCCCAACCTCGGGGGGCCAAACGCCTCCTGCCGGAGGTTATACGCCGGGGTCGTGCGGTCCATGGCCCTCTACGGCGCCCCTGTTTGGGCGCCGAACCTGCTGCAGCGGCCCGCTCGGGCGCTGCTTATGGCACAGAGGGTCATGGCGATCCGAATGATCCGCGGATACAGCACGATCTCTGGGGAGTCGGCGAACCTCCTTGCCGGATTACCACCGTGGGATCTGGAGGCGAAGGTGCTCGCGCGCGTGTATCGCATGCGCGCGGAGGCACGTCGCCGGGGCGAAACTCCGCTGCCGCGCCAGATAAGTGCGTGGCGGGATGAGCTCCGGCGCGATCTCATGGCGGAATGGCAGCAACGACTGTCGCAACCGAGGGCTGGGCTCGCTGCCATTGCAGCGGTAAGTCCCCTCTTTGAGGAGTGGCTTGAGAGACGCTACGGCGTCCTCACCTACCGCCTGACGCAGGTCCTCACCGGACATGGAAGTTTCGGGAGGTACCTGTGTCTGATGGGGCGGGAGGAAACGCCCGGGTGTCATCACTGCGAGGACCACCCTGAGGACACGGTGGAACACACTGTTGCGGAATGCCCTGCCTGGGCTGAGCACCGCCGTGCCCTCAGGGAAGTGATCGGCGATGGAGACCTCTCGCGTCCGGGCCTTGTGCAGGCCATGATGCGGAGCGAGGGGGACTGGGATGCCGTCTCCTCCTTTTGCGAAGCAGTCATGCTGGCTAAGGAGGAGGCGGGACGCGTGAGGCAGCGAAGCGCTGCCTCCTCGCAACCCAGCCATCGCGAAGGACACACCGGGCGTCGGGGATCGCGGGACGATCTCCGGCCACCGTAAGCGCGGGCCTGCGGACGGCGAGCATGGGTGGCTCTCCGTCCGACCAGAAACAGACCCGAGCGTACGGCGCGTCGCGTTCCGCGCGCGCCTCAAAGAGCCATCAGACCACCACAGATGGGGCCCAATAGGGCCGATGCCGATTCGGAGTCGCGGAGAACCTAACGGGTAACCGGGGCTCCGGCTCGACGTGCAGGAGAAGGAACGGGGTGGTTTTTAGTCAGTTGACACTCTCTTCCGCCTCACCCAGGCGGGAGCAGTCATTCGATGATTTTCCCCCCTTAAAAAAAAAAAAAAAAAAAGGGACAAAGGCTCCAAAGAAATGTATTAGATTTTGTCATATCTATGTACTTACCTAAATATGGATACTAATATAATAAGATGTGGTTTCGCGTGTCTTTCAATATGAACGCGATGAACTCAAAAACTGCTGGACGGATTTTAGTTCGATTTTCATTGAAAATGCAGATTACTCATTACATAACAATATTCTATAGTACAAAGACAATGTGTTATTGATGAAGGTTTATAAATTATGCGGTTATTAAAACCGCGAATGGACTATTAAAATTGTATCAACTAAACTAATTATTTATCTTTCTTTATTTCCAGTGGACCAGCTAATCCTAACGTGCACAGACTACACATTCCCCGCGGCGTCAGCTGTGCAGTTCGTGCTGACGATCCTTGTGGAGCGTCTGCTGCTGCAGCCTGAGATCCAGGACAAGATCCATGAGGAAATAGACCGCGTGGTCGGCAGAGACCGTCTCCCGAACTTGGATGACAGAAGAAAGTACGTACCTACTTACTTAAATACGTAGGGTGTAGACGGATCGCTCCCGAAACGCTGACAAAAAGGAATCGTTTTTTACAATTTCTAATCGTTATTATTTTCGTGTTATTCATACAACATCAGCCTTCTTAATTCATTCTGTCTCCTGCAGTAATTTACAGAGGGAAGTAGAAACTATCGTTTTTCCTTTTCCTCTTATAATATCTTCTGATACACTTCGTTGCGGGAACCAAGACAGTTATTCATGTCCCTGGGACGCGCCGGACTTCAGTGTTCCTGTGTTTTCATGGTTGTATCCTGGCTTACAAGAGTTGCAGCGGTTTAGGGGGTTGCGGTGGGTTTGTCCCAAAAAAAACATCAGCCTAGAACATCAGTTGTTGATAACAACTATTATTTATTACATACAATAAACATTTAATTCCTTACTTTTATAAAACTCGTTTTTCGCCACCACCTGTCGGCGTTTTTCGGTAACGTTCCGTTTACACCCTACCTGGTGTACTGGTTGACTGACCATAGCTTGGTGTTTTTTTAGTACCTATATATTTTTTTTAGAAAAAAAGAGAAATAATATAGTACAAAATAAAAAAAATCATCCGTAAGCAACAACATCCATCCCGGAGAACCTAACGGGTAACCGGGGCTCCGGCTCGACGTGCAGGAGAAGGAACGGGGTGGTTTTTAGTCAGTAAGAGTCTAACACTCCCTCCCGCCTCACCCAGGCGGGAGCAGTCATTCGATGATTTTCCCCCCTTAAAAAAAACCACAAATACAAATTTCAAGAAAATCTATGAAGCCGTTTGCGAGACCGTTGAAATCACAAGAATTCAAATTCAAATATCTTTATTGCTGAACACTATACATTTAGATGTATTACTAGATGTTAGATGAATGCGCCGTTCACCATATTTGAATAGGTCATTTAAAGGTATTAGATTAGTGTGGCAATACGTACCTACGTCGTTTCATGTCAATTTAACTAACTTATAAAAATAAAATTAAGATTTAAAATAATAAAGCTTAGAGATAAAAATTTATATTATTCTTCTTAGGTACCTATCCACATTTAATATTATTTAGTAGTCTGGCTACTTCATACTTCTTCAAGTAGCTAACTAGATACAAAAACAACTAACCAAAATTAAAATCAGGGAAGAACAATATTTAAGACAATAAACCAGAATATAAATTAATCTTACTTATTAATGAATTATATTCATAATTATTATGAGAATAATACAGAGGTACTTACCTAAGTAAAGTAGTTATTACCTATATAGACAATTAAGTTTTACATACCTAAGTTGTCCGGTGACTTTTAAATTAGAGGTCGTAGCTAAATTTATTTGTCTTACAATAAAATATTAAACTTTTTATGATTTTGTACATACCAATATATAATATTTATTTTAGTGTCAGCAATAATGTAAAATAAAACAATGCTCGTTGATAAATAAATGGCGCATCGTAAGATGTATGAAAAATATCCTTCTATTGTAACTTTCGTGAGACATCCTTACTTCCTTACTAATATTATAAATCGGAAAGTGAGTTTGTTTGTTTGTTTGTTCCGACTTCACGCTGTAACTACTAAACCGATTGCATTGAATTTTTGCAGACGTAAAGTTAGTAGTCTGGATTAAATAATAGGGATTTTTTATCCCGAAACAATTTGATATTCCCGAGGGAAAACAAAAGTATTGGTATAGATGGCGCTGTATGTATAATGGTATAATTATGGCACATAGGCTACTTTTTATCCTTTTATGACGCGAGCGAAGCCGCGGGTAAAAGCTAGTACTAAATAAATTATTATGTTTGAGTAGCAGCGCGACAGTCGCCGCGTCGCGGGTCGCGGAATGCTGCTCATGAATATGAGCTTCTAGCATGGCTTGAAACTAGTCGAGTTCCTCGCCAAATTAGTGAGTAAGCCGAAACATAATATTTTAAAAATATCCTTCGATAAACTTACTCACATGGCGAAAGACAGTGCAAACGTAGTTTCACGCCGTTTGTTTGTGAGGCCGTGGTATCACGCTGCGGTCGAGCCGGTCCATTCAAGCCGAAGCAAGGCTCTTTCACACATTTAAAAAAATCTTTTAATTTATATAGCCTAGCTCAATATTTCCTAGCTCCGTGTTCACAACAGAACAAAAGGACGGATTGAAGTTTCAATGTCGATGTGAAAATGAAAGGTGTATTCGTTTCTTATTAAGTCATGAGAGGTCAATGTACTCAGGTATTTAAACAAATTATTACGATGGTGTGAAAAAAGAAATACTTAGGTACAAGCTACCTATTTTTAGCATTAACATAGTAATATTTAGAATCATTCTACACAACGTTACCTTCTTACCCACTTCATTATAGATTTGGAGAGAGTTCAGTCTATTTTTGCTAAAGTAGGTACCTATACAAAGTACAGATAGTTACGTCATGAAACCTAGGTCTGATACCTATGTCTTTTTTATCGGATATGCCGGTAACCACACAGACGGATCACATTAAGCAATCGGCGTCTCCCATGGACATTCGCATCACCAGAGGCGTTAGAAGTGCGTTGCCGGCTTTTGGGGAGGAATTTGCAGATTCGGAGATTGAGGAGATTGGGGAGGAGGCCAATTAGGCTTCCGGTAACCTCAATCAAGCGGCCAAATACAACAAAAGCGTATACCTCATATAATGTCGGTTTTCTGTGAGGCCGTGGTATAACTCCGGTGGAGCAGCCCGCGGCCAATTCGCGTCGAAGCATGGCTCTCCCACGTTTGTTCATTCCATTTTATTTGAGTAGTAAATATGTTTATGCTTAGTTGGTATCCTTCATGCCTTCCTGCTGTTTTCGTTGTTTTATCAGAGAATGGTCTTTCATCAAGGTTGCAGATTTGTTTGCAAAAAAAAAATAGGACGTACTTTCTACTTTGATAAGACAGATATAATTGAATGATTGAACGTAATGATATTTAAGTTCTAACACTATGTAACTATTCTATTCTGTTTGTTTCTTATGACATAATTTTATTAACTTTATTATTTCATTGTCATTGATAGGTATTATTAGTTCATCTTGACATTTACTTAAAGATTTATTACAAAATCAATTAATAGGTATTTATACACCAGCCACGGTTAAGTATGTTGATACAAACAATACTGTACATCTATAGTAAACATCCATTTTTAACTTACACATGTTTTGGCAAATAAAATCTTTGTCTTTATCTTACTTTGTACTGGATATTGTAGTAGTAGGCATCTGATTGCAGTGATTGCTAAAATACTCCTTTTTTTGAGGGGGGAAAATCATCAATTGACTTCTCCCGCTTTGGGTTGGCGAGAGGGAGTGTCAGACTCTTACCTACTGACTAAAAACCACCCTGTTCCTACTCTTGCTCTTCGTGCCGAAGCCCCGGTAACCAAATAGGCCTTCTGTGGCTCCATTGCTAAAATACTTGCACACATACTGTAGTAATCAGGCTCATGGTCTATATTTGTTTTGTTTTCAATGACATACCATTGCGATTATCTTCGAATGGGGACAGGGTCTGTTCAAGCCGGTGTTAATTTCAGTAGGTTAATGCTTTTTTTGTTGCGATAGGTCCGGTTTGACCTGTTTTCATGTAATCAATCATTAAATTGAAAGATAATGAAGATTTTTTAAAGATAGAACGTATTAAACGTAAAAAGATTAAGATAGTGACTGTTTCTTTAGACTCTAAAATTGAGCAATTTTGACGCCATTATACACCTACTTTTTTCATGCAACGACCAACCGTAACTCTAATAAAGCCCTTAAGTTGTGGTAATAAAGCCACTTATCAAAAATCTGTCGTGCTGTGCTGCGTGCTTATTTACTTTTTACTGGATAAAGTGCGATGACCGCGGCCCACTGCGCGAAGATTTAGGAGCATGTACCGTCCGGCGTCCGTACTGTTAGCTTGGCATGTCTCCTACTGTTAGACACCAGATGCCCTAGTGCGAGTTTCCTTCTATGTTAACGCTATCGACACGTTTATGACGTTCGACACTCTTATTGGCCGGCTCCAATTCACCGCCCAATCAGAAGGCTAAACGCAGTAACGTTTTGATTGCCTTAACGTAAAAAGAACTGGCACTAGGCCTTTTAAAGATCTAAGATCTTTACAACATGTACTCGTTACCTCTATTTCCGTTAGCTCGCTTGCTTTTTGTTCATTTTAGAGGTTTAATCACGATGGCACAGATAAACCGTTTGTTTTGTTCTGTAAATGTTTGATGTTGAGCTGTTCGCCGGTTGTACCAACATGCCAATCAAAATAAACCGTTCTTGACCAAAAACTTCAACAACCGTGAAGTGAATCGGATTTTCTAATTCGAGAAATGTTTTATTTTTAAAGCCAGTTTGTTTGTAGATATTGCAAGAATATTCCTATTCAAATTTAGGTAGACCACAAAAGTAAGATACGGTAAAATGGGGTGAATAGGGATTAAGAGGTGAATAGAAAGAGAAGAGGGGTGAACTGATACTACGAAGAATTTCCCAATATCTATTCACCTCTCTTCTATCTCTATTCATCTCTCGATCCCTATTCGCCCTATTTACAGTACCTAATTTAATAATTTCACAACAAGAAAATAATTAAAAATCTTTTACGTACTTACCTAAGTACGTACCTACGCATACCTACGCGAAGTAGCAATATAATAAATCTTATAATAATACAAATAATTAGGTTATCATTTAATCCAATAGTATACAAACTACTGGTCTTTATCCTAATCTGAATCAAGGTTCACTAAGTACTAACCTATCATAACATAGTACTAATTATAAGTACCTTAGAACTTGATAAATGATTAGATAGTCGGCTTTTGTCCTACATTGTATTTACTCGTGCTAAATTAATTTAAATACCTACTAGTAGGTACACTTTTTAAACTCTTCATCTAACCTCTATAAGCTAGACGACGATACGACCTTCAACAAATGAGCGTCTTCCTTTTTAAAAGGCCGGCAATGCACCTGTGACTCCTCTGGTATTGCGGGGTGTCTATGGGCGGCGCTAATAGCTTATCATCAGGTGATTCATCTGCTTGTTTGCCTAAAAACGTTTATTAATCCATTATTACACTTTTACTACTTACTAAATAAAATTACCTAAGTACCTACTAGTTTATTTAATTTAGTCAAGCGCTCGAGAGGACTTGCAAATTCTGTGGCCTGATACCAAGCTATTTAGTAGGTACTGAAACACAATTTAATATTTAAACACGTAGCAGGTGATCTTTCGTGGAGTTTCATACTGCGTTTAGCGTTTACCTAATTAATTTTGATTTTAAAGTTTAAATTATAGTCTTTTTATTATTTTTGCCAATTTCCCAGACGTGCTAATTTTCAACCAAGGTTTATCTGTTGTTCTTGACCGTGTCTGACCTCTTACTGCTTAATACCTATGTCTCAAATGCATAAGCACGTACGTTAGTTGGTACCTACCTACCTACTTGGTTTTACCAAACTCAGGCAAGTAGTTAGAACTAGATAGTAGATTATCTACCTAATATTTTAATAACGTCGCTCCAGATTTGTAGGTTGAATAAATGTATGGTATGGTAAGAACCTAAACATACATAGGACACATCTAAACAAATCCTTTGGAATTATTATTGGATGATATGTCATGAGTTTATAAAATCCTACATGATCATACACATGCAAATAATCGGTGTCGAAAATAAGCATCGAGTTATTCGGTTAGAAGAGAATATTCGGTATTTGAAGTCGGTCGGTAATTACAAATGTAATCTACGTTTAAATCGAAAATATTAACGGTTTGCCTCATTCACTATTGCTAGCTACCTGCTACTTACTTGCGCACTGCACATTATCATTAAGTAGGTTACTCACCACATCACAAGCACCGTTTTGGTCATCCATCAAAACAATTGCATAGAAATTGGACCAATGACTTCGTTGCCCACTGCTGTATTACCTAAGTCGGTATCGTCTACTACATGTATTTTATATTAGACGTAGTTATTTTTTATTTTCCCACAGAATGAAATGCTTTCGACGATATAATAATCTGAAATGTCGTGTGACGTCACAATACGCTACATTTTGTAGCACTTAGTGACGTAACGACCTCCCACTTCTAAACTTAACACCATGTTATCTAAGTATTTTTAACTTTATACGAGAAAATAAAATAATAAGTGTCTAATATTTTTTCATTATCTAACTGACGGACTAATTAGATTTTTAATTTTCATTCCCTGGCAACTAACCTATTGAAATCTCCTACAAAAAGATTTGTAATAAGTTTATTTAGAGATAAAAGCGTGGTCGGTATTACTTGGTACCATTAACAATTCACTTATATCATGTATTAAGAATATAACTTCACAGTACGTGAGCACCACGAGGCATTTTACATGGAACATATTGCAACATTGTATGGAACACCTTTTATAATATTTATGAAGGGGCATTATAATTAATTAAATGAATTGTAAACCATAGTGTATCTCGACATTAATGGACGTAAGAGTACTAAAATTACCATAAAGCCAATTACGTTTATGTTTGTTATTCCTCTTAAGTAGACCATGGCTAAACCTAATACGCTTGTTAAAACTTGGTGTAGATAAGATGAAAACATGTAAAATAGCTTAGGGATTTCGTATACTTAAACTGTCAAACACCGCAAGGACACCGGTGTCCGCAACATATTGTTCTTTAATTGTGTCTATAATGACGGTACTCAAAGGGTTAAATCGGCTTTGTTGAGCTATTGTCCAGTTGTAGAATACAACGACTGTGTATTACAATAATAGGCCTGTTTTAAATGTGAAATACTACCTACTTATAAATAATATTTTTCACAGTATGCCATATTTGGAGGCTTGCATCCGAGAGACTATGCGGTACGACACCACAGTACCTCTGTCGGTGCCTCATCGAGCAATGAAGGATACCACCTTAGCAGGATACGATGTGCCAGAGGTGAGATAAAAGAAAAACTCGTCATAACATCACGCCTTTTATCCTTGAGGGGGTAGGCAGAGGTGTACATTATGGCACTGTACAATGTAACACCCACTTTTCACTATTTATGTTATGAATCCCATGTAATAGGGGGTGAGCCTATTGCCATATACCGGGCACACTTCCAGACTCCGTGCTACTACTGAGATTTTTTTTAAAAAGCCAGTAATACTTTGCCCGACCCGCGAATCGAACCCGAGATCCCATGCTCAGCAGTCGCACTTGCGACCACTGGGCCAACGAGGCAGTAAAAGAAAAACTATTTAATAAAATTGTCAAGTTGCATCATAATTTGGGGCGTCCAGACCTAGAGAATTTCCCGTTCGCTAGTAGCTGTCTTTCGAACCTAAATGTTTGTAACATGCTGTGTATAATACCTAAGTTGCGAATAATAGGTTTCTAGGTATTAAGAAAACTATGGGTATAAAATAGACATCTGTTAACTCATGATATTAAATTATTAATATTTTCAATTTTAAGATATTAGCGGGTAAAACGATTAAAAATGATGGATACCTAGGTTTACTAGGTTTACTAGGTAATCATAAAATCTTTCAATTAATTTTATAATATAAGAAATTAATTTGTGGATTATAGTATTTTGAATGTAGGTATATTAGGTTCCAAGTATTATTGCGAAAGTCATTTAACCTAATAAAAGTATTTTAGGTGTCTCATTTCCTAAAGTTTAAACATATTTTTTAGGTTCGAAATTTAAAATAGACTGTCTCGTTAATTCTGTGTTCGTTATTCAAAATATGGTTTATTGACCTTAGGGTACGATGGTGAGCGCCAACCTGACGATGCTACACATGGACAAGGATATTTGGGGTGACCCCGAAAACTTCCGTCCCGAAAGATTCCTCAAGAACGGAGAGCTTGACCTCGCCAGCGACAAGTCATTGCCATTTGGAGCAGGTACGAATATTTATACCTTTGTTTACCTGAAGGCTATTGACCTGAAAGGGAAGGCGTCAGTCAGTTACCTACTGACAAAAATCGGTGATCCTTATTGTACCGTGTATTTTTTTAAGATGCAATTTTATCCTCAAATCTTATTCTCTTCGAAATGTCGCGGAGAACCTAACGGGTAACCGGGGCTCCGGCTCGACGTGCAGGAGAAGGAACGGGGTGGTTTTTAGTCAGTAAGAGCCTGACACTCCCGCCCGCCTCACCCAGGCGGGAGCAGTCATTTGATGATTTTCCCCCCTTAAAAAAAATACTCTTCGAAATACATGTTCGAAATCAGCTAATTTTCCTTCGTCGTGGTGTAAGTATTTAACTCAATATCACAAAAAATGTCGCTTAGATCAATTAGTCTTTCAACCGTTGTCTAATACTTACTACTGTATAAAGCTAAAGAGTTTGTTTGAAGGCGCTAATCACCGGAACTAGCATTCAGATTCTAATAATTCTTTTTGTGTTGGATAGTCCATTTATCGAGGAAAGTTATAGGCTATAAAACATTACGATACGATCGGTTGGAGTGTAGCAAAGGGTGTGCAAGGAGATTAGGATCAAAAAAATTATTTATTAAAAATGAGGATTCTTATGAATGGCTGGTTTTTCATTTCTATCGTTTAGTATACCGTAAAATAAGGGGAAAATCATCTGGGCATTTTTTATCTAGAACTTCAGGTTCGCCTGAAAATGAGCCCTAAAGGTCTTTTGGCGGAGTATGTAAACACTTTTTGGGCACCCCGACACATTTGGTTAGTTTAGGTTAGACCTGTGACTGTGACTGCACACAAGGCGCGAGGCGAGCGAGCGAAGCAATTGGTGCGCATTTTTTCATACTCTGCCAACTGACCTTTCTGGCTCATTTCCATTCTCTAAGTCCCAAATCTCTTGCAAACCCTTTGCTACACTCTAATCCTACGATCAATAGGTGCCGAGCCGTAACCGCGCGGAAGTAGCTAGTAATTTTAAAATTTTACTTTTTGCGTTTTGACATAGAATTTTCGTTTTACATTTTAACTTATTTAATATGTAGGTAAATCGATGCAAAGTAGAGCTAGTTAGAATCAACTAAATTAAAACCAACATCTGACTACACATTTTTTTTTATTAGACACGTGCAGACACTGCGGTATTGAAAAACGGTTTTAGGAAATGTTTCTACAGGAAACAAAACGTCTTATCAATAAACATATTTTATTTGCGTCAAACTAATGGTCGATGAGAGTATTTACCATAGTTTTGATGATATTTATGTAAATCTAGATACAGAAACTGGTTACTAAAATAAAATCTTTACTAAGTAGGCATCCGTTTAACTTAATCAAAACTCTGTGACACTACTTGTTATATGCAAAAATAAAACAAATATAATACTATGAATAACTAAAAATTGTTAGAGAAAAAGTGTATCAGCAGATATAATGGATAGATCCTTTTAATTTGATAGGTATTTGTGTTAGTCCCCACCTTTTTTCGGTACTTTCCTGCAGCATAGTTAGACAAATCGTACCCATTACGACTGCATTCAAGGCATAATACATAAGTAATACAGTTTCCACTTATGTCCTAACTGACCTATTCTAGCTTTATAAACCTGTCACAGTTTCGTTTTGTAACAAGTTTTTACGCTTCACTGCGAAACTGCAGAAAATTGCTACAATTATCTCGGCTTAGGAAATATTTATCACTTTATAATATTGCTGTAAGTAATGCTTTGTTCGCATGACGCTAGTAATTTAGTCGAGTTGCGAATATTTAGTAGTTCTGTCTCACTTCAATTTTGGGACAGAAGCGAGATAGGACTACTGAATATTCGCTACTGGACTAAAATACTAGCTTAGTGTAAACGAGGCATAATAACAAGTGGCAATCTATTTAGTCTAACTCATATTGGATGTCAAAATTAACAGGTTAAATCTTAAATTCTGTAAAATTGTTGATTGGTGATCATTAATGCAAATCCAGACTTCTAACCCAAAATTATATATTATGAATAAATTTAGATACTTACTTATGCTTTATACCTATCGTAACCTATGAGGGATTTTATCATGAATTAGTAGGAAAAATACCTACAGCGATATAAAAGTGTATACGTGACCATTTCGGATTAGGCGTTTTACTTCAGCTAGGTACGAGTATTAGATTAGTATTCGCGTTACAGGTATCTACGTGTTCTCAGGACTAACATTAACTTACCTCATTATACCTGATTATATTTAAAATTTAAGTACCACTAACTCCCCTTACCCCAACCTCCCAAACCCCTGAATCCCCAACATTCCTCCAATTCTTAATCCCTAAAAGGCCGGTAACGCACTTGTAACGCCTCTGGTGTTCTAGGTTCATGGGCGACGCCGATTGCTTAAAATTTGGTGATCCGTCTGCTCCCATAAAATATGGAAATTAGTTACCTAAATCAATAAGTCTGCCTTCCACCTAGGAGTTCCTAAAGAAGATATTTAGAGAAGATTTTGAAGGATCATTGGACTAATATCATATAAGATTAATTCATTCGTTCAATTATTGCTTTTTATTCACAGGCAGAAGATTGTGTGCTGGTGAGACGTATGCTAGACAGTCCATGTTCCAAGTATTTGCTGGCTTCATGCAGACTTTCCATGTATCCACCGCTGACGGCAAACCGCTGCTGAAGCCTTCTAAAAGGATCCAAGGCATCATCACCACCATTCCTGAGTTCTGGGTTAAAGTTACTGTCCGAGAATGAAAAACCACAAACAAGAATTTTGCCACAAAATTAAAAAAATAAGTGTCTATGATCTCTCTTGTTTTTCGCCAAAATGTAATCAAAGGTTTGGATGTTTACTTAAACTTAAACTTTAGTTACTTTTAACCTAAAAAAAACTATTGTCTCCGTCATCTACTTACCTGTATTAAAAAATGTGATTTTTAGATTTCTGTACCTTCTTTCTATTTTAATGATCTACTTTACAGAACTACGATAAACTGCCTATATCTATTTCCTTTAAGTTCAATTACCATCTCATAAATAACAATAATGATAACCGAAGTCAATGAAACTACGCACTGTAGACACAATCGAATTACCAAGATTAATTTATGCCTAACGTAAAATAAGTTTTGACAGCTCAAAATGACATTGACATAGTTGAAGAGTTAGCCTTGACAGAGGCGACTCATTCAAGATATATTATTTCAACCTGTTTTTGTTTAAATACGTACCTATACTGTTAGGTATTATTACTTAACATAATAATCTAAGTTACGATATCTCATTATAAGCATATCTCATTAGCATTTTTACGCATTCGTTTTTAAATATTAAATACCCATTTTCCTAATAAGGTTGGATCGCATCTTAGATTGACGTTCGAAATAATTTAATTTTCTTTGTTACCATTAATAGATTCGAACTTATATGACCGAAATTTTATGAATAATACATGGCAATGACGATAATATCATTTATTATGTCATAATCAAATCGGTACCTACATACTTCAGTAAGTATCTGATAAAATATAGATAACTGTGTATATTTAGTAGCCTACTTAATATTATGAGGGTAATCTTCACGAAAATTTATATACATATCTTCATTAAAAATACCAGTTTTTTAAATTTTAATCTTGGTAATTATTTTATTATAATATCTGAACATTTTAATTTAGTATGACATTGTTACTTAACACTATTTTTTAAGGATCTTTGACTTTTGTATCAACCATCAAAGAATTAACTATAGGTACATGTATGTACACTGCTCTTATTTAAGGCATTAAAATTAATGTAACACAAATAAATAATAAAATCCTTGTATTAAAAAAATTGTATGTTTCAATTATCAAGTCTCTCCATCTCTATGTAAAGATACTGATTGTTGCCTTGTTAGACGATTTGGTAAGTGGAAATTTAGTAGGTTCTACTTCTGTGCTAGGAAAGAGTGTCATACATTTTTAAATATTATCAAAACCACGGAGTATGGGATTGTGCCTGGTACCGTCTGTTGGAGAACGAAAAACGTCTTTATATTTTTCCAAATATTTTCAAAATGCCATGTGGACTACTTTTATATCGTAATGTGCAAATCGAATCGAACGATAAATAACGATTTATCGTTTAGATTAAAATTGATACAATCGTTCAAGTTCGATGAATTCACGCACGCTCTCTCATTAATAAAGTGTGGCATGGCATGAACACACGGCTGCACTAATTTCAACAATGTTAACAGAAAAATAGGACAAATAGTAAAACTGAAAATTTACGAAAACCGGAATTTCCGTAAGGAATACGTCGTTTATTGCTCTTGTAAGTCTTATGAAGAAGTAACTATGATGAGATATGATGGTGTGATGCAATGAAGGCTTTTCCTCACATTAGACACCATTTATTTAATAAACACTACTCGTAGGTATATCTCTTGGCCAGACCATTTTTTTATGGAAGACGCGCAAACGTGTGGATATCCATGCGAGGTTTTCGGAATTTACAATACTGGCACAGGGCCTGAATTTCTCTGGGGTTTCGCAATAGTTTCCTTATTTACGTTTCATTATATACGTAGTTGCGTCCTTATGTTCCTAATCTGAACGATAATGTCATTTACATAATGATGCATTATAGATTGCACTTGCAACAATGTCAAAGATTAAAATGTAGGTATTAACTATTTACTTTGTATACTGGTGCTAATATTAAATGAGTTTGTTATTTACGTTCAAAATAATAAAGCTTATATTTACTTATACATACGTAACTGAAAATAACATCTTGCACACATCATGTTCCAATTGTTAGTCAAACAAAGACTAATTTATTGTCAGTTTGCTTATCTAATTGTAGATACTAATATGATTATTTATTCATACATTACTTGTTACTAGGCATATTAATTTTTGCATGTTTTGGGCCGTTGCCCATTATAATATTGAAAAAAAGGCAGACGTAAAATGGCAGTGGTGTATTTTTGTGAGCGTGTACTTGCAACACCGTAATGTAATAACAGGCCATCTTACGCTATGCCCTTCGTGTCAATGATTGTGTATTCCACGTGCAAGTCTATAGTAGCCAGATGCCACATGCGTTGTTTCAAGAGACTATGTCCTTTTTCAACGTCCTGGTCCTGATCCTGGTTTTGGGTATATTAATGCGAAGTAGATAATTAAGAAAGTTAAGGTTAAATTTTGAAATTGTCCAGGACCAAAGAGTTGCAACGCACACTTCGGAAAACTGTTTATCTTTTCAAAATAACCGATCAAAGCTAATCTTATTTATGATACATTTACACTAGGCAATTATAGAACAATTATAGGTGGATGAAGGGCTTATTAAAGATGGCGTTGCATGACAGCTATAAATTATATTTTTAATAATAGAGGAAAACAATTGAGTTGTGTTAATTACTTGATCGAAGAAGCGTTAACATGCCAATTTGAATAGGTAGGTACTATTAGAGCCTTTTAACAATAAATTATTATTAACAACAAACCTTCCTACAGCAAAAAATTTGAACTTCCCACCTTCAAATTTTGGGCTGTATTGTGCGCTAGAATTTAAAATCTAACAGAGATTTTTCTTTCCCACAAAAGCATCAAATATTTGAACTGTTTGTTTTTATATTTTTGATAACTGGTCATTTGCCTCATGATGTCATTTGTGAAGTGGGTACCGAAATAGTTTGTCTAAGACCTGGTATGATAGCATAAAACGGTGGAGTAATACAAGGTAGGTACTTGAAAGTTATTTTTAGCATAAACCAGACGTAAATGCGAATAAGGAAAATCCATGTCAGTAACTTTTTAGGTCTTGTGTACAAATACTAGATAAAATGGTGTTATCAGCATCGTCGTGATCAAAATACCTAATATCTACGACACAAGTCGGTATAGTTAGACAAGAAGAGGGTTTACAGTTAGTTAAACCGTGGCGCAGTAAAGTCTTTTTTTTTAAGGGGGGAAAATCATCGAATGACTGCTCCCGCCTGGGTGCGGCGGAAGGGAGTGTCAGACTCTTACTGACTAAAAACCACCCCGTTCCTTCTCCTGCACGTCGAGCCGGAGCCCCGGTTACCCGTTAGGTTCTCCGCGACGGCGCTGTAAAGTCTAGGTTAAACGAAATACTAGTGTGATTTTCTTAGAAGTTAGAACGTAGATCGATAAAGATTAGTTATTTGCCAACAACAATATAGAAACTAAATATTGACAGTATAATGGAATCGTTTCTCAGGTTTATTCCATAACAACAATTCAACATTTCATTACCTACTTAGTAGTTAAACATCACCTAACTACGTAAATGTTTTTCTTTAGTTACTTAATTATCTACAAATGGCACAAGCCTACAGAAAATATGACATTGAACTCAAGTAAGTCACGTTTAAAGTTAAAATTACCTAAGTGAAAATGACAATTTTGGATAAAGCTAGCAGGTTTATCCACTTATTGAAATTAATGTTTCCTTCTTGTCTAAATAGCCTTGTACGTTTGACAACGAAAAAAAAATTCATTGCATGATTTTTTGTGAAAAATTTTACGTCTTTACTATCATTTTGATTTCAACACTTTGAAATGAGGGCAAGGCTTTAGAAGCACCTTCACTGATGTCTCCTCTATATAAGACTTATCCAGGTAACCGGGGCTCCGGCTCGACGTGCAGGAGAAGGAACGGGGTTGTTTTTAGTCAGTAAGAGTCTGACACTCCCTCCCGCATCACCCAGGCGGGAGTAGTCATTCGATGATTTTGCCCCCTTAAAAAAAAAAACCACTTTTGCTAGTACGCCTATAAAAATGGGGTTGCAGATAGAAAATGCTAAATCACGGGCTAATTGTTTAATGTCATGTTTTAACTGAAGATTACGGTATTATAATTATAAGTTTCTAGGTAGGTACTAGGTATAGTCATACAGATCACGAAGTATAGATACACGTATCAAATATTAAAGCCACATTTTTTCAATTAAGAAGGTACTTAAGCATAAATGTTTGTAATAATATTTTTAAATGTCATACAAGGTTAAAGGTATTATTATAATAATATTTATCTAAAAATAACTACCTACATAACGAGTATGAATAAATTGAATTCGTGCTATTCATAACTTCATAAGTACTTTTTCATTTTGCATACCTAATTTGACAGAGAATAAATTCCTACATATTGATAACCTCATTATACAATTATTATTATATCATCTTCCACTACTTACCCAAATGCCGATACGGAGCCGCTGAGAACTTAACAGGTTACCGGGGCTCCGGCTCGAAGTGCAGCTGAGTAGGAACGGGGTGGTTTTTAGTCAGTAAGAGTCTGACACTTCCTCCCGCCTCAACCAGGCGGGAGTATTCATTCGATGATTTTCCCCCCTTAAAAAAACCCTAATCTATCCACTATCTACTTCTGCGCGGTTTAACCCGCTCTGCTCGGTTCTGACTTCTGTTTGACCGTAACATGATGTTTTATAGCCTACTAGCTTCTGCCCGCGACTTCGTACGCGTAATCCAATTTTTCTCGTCCCCGTTCGTGATTTCCGGTAAAAAGTAAAAGAAAAATGTTGGTTAAAAAGTATCCTATGTCGGTCTCCTGGCTCTAAGCTACCTCCCTACCAATGTTCAGCCAAATCTGTTCTGCCGTTCTTGAGTTATAAGTGGTGTAACTAACACAACTTTCTTTTATATATATATAAGATAGTCTTCCTCGAAATATGGACTACTTATCCACCACAAAAATAATTATTCAAATCGAACC